TCCAACGCATCATCCTCCGACACTTCCGCCAACTGCAATCCGACCCCACCACCAAAGACATCTTTCCCTCCCCACCCTTATCTGCTTTCCGGAGGGACAACTCTCTCCGTGACTCCCTTGTCCGCTCCACACTCCCCTCCAGCTCCACCACACCCGGCACTTTTCCCTGCAACCGCAGGAAGTGCTACACCTGCCCCCATACCTCCTCCCTCACCCCCATCCCAGGCCCCAAGAAGACTTTCCACATCAAGCAGATGTTCACCTGCACATCTGCCAATGTGGTATACTGCATCCGCTGTACCCGGTGTGGCTTCCTCTACATCGGGGAAACCAAGCGGAGACTCGGGGACCGCTTTGCAGAACACCTACGCTCGGTTCGCAACAAACAACTGCACCTCCCAGTCGCGAACCATTTCAACTCCCCCTCCCATTCCTCAGACGACATGTCCATCCTGGGCCTCCTGCAGTGCCACAACGATGCCACCCGAAGGTTGCAGGAACAGCAACTCATATTCCGCTTGGGAACCCTGCAGCCCAATGGTATCAATGTGGATTTCACAAGTTTCAAAATCTCCCCTCCCCCTACCGCATCCCAAAACCAGTCCAGCTCGTCCCTGCCTCCCTAACCTGTTCTTCCTCCCACCTATCCCCTCCTCCCACCTCAAGCCGCACCTCCATCTCCTACCGACCAATCTCATCCTGCCCCCTTGACCTGTCCGTCCTCCCTGGACTGACCTATCCCCTTCCTAACTCCCTACCTACACTCACCTTTACTGGCTCCATCCCCGCCTCTTTGACCTGTTTGTTTCCTCTCCACCTATCCTCTCCTCTATCCCTCTTCTATCCGCCTCCCATTCTCTCCTTATTTATTTCAAAACCCCCTTCCCCTCCCCCTTTTCTGATGAAGGGTCTAGGCGCGAAACGTCAGCCTCTCTGCTCCTGTGATGCTGCTTGGCCTGCTGTGTTCATCCAGCCCTGCACCTTGTTGTCTCGGATTCTCCAGCATCTGCAGTTCCTACTATCTCTGGATAGACTGGGTTTGCTTTCCTTGGAGCAGAAGAGGCTGAACGGGGATCTGATTGAGGGGTACAAAATTAAGAGGCACAGGCAGAGTAGATCGTGAGAATCTCTTCCCCATGGCTGACATGACCGAGACCAGTAATAAGTTTAAGGTGAGGACCAAGTCGTTTAGAGGAGATCTGAGGAAAATTTTTTTTCACCCCATGGGTGGTAGAAATGTGAAATGCGCTGCTTGAAAGGGTGGTTGAGGCAGGTACTCTCGCAACATTTAAGAAGCATCTGGATGTGTTCTTAAAATGCCAGGGCATAGCAGGCTATGGACCCAGATGCATATAAATGGGATTAGTGTAGTTTGGTGTTTGTTAATTGGCATAGATATGGTCAGCTGTTTCTATGCTGAATGACTGTGACTCTACGCAGTTTAGTCACAGTGTTTCTCCAGGATATGGTCTTCTAAGCACTTACTATCCCTGAGATATTTGAGTGTTATAGGCCTCTCTAGCCAATGGATAAACCCAGAGCTGGAATTCATTGCTATTCCTCCTGCCCTTGCTCTTCTGGAGTGGAGGCAGGACTCTTCAGTACAAAGACAAAGTTGCTGGAAAAGCTCAGCAGGTCTGGCAGCATCTGTGGAGGAGAAAACAGAGTTAATGTTTCGGGTCCGGTGACCCTTCCTCAGAACTGGACTCTTCAGTACCTATTGTAACAAAGGAATGTTTCTGGGAGGAGTCACTCCAAGGTGAACTTGCTGGGCTGAATGGGCTCCGTCACCTTTGCTGAGATCTGTGACTTTCGCATGCACTGAAACTCCAGTTTGTGTACTTTCTTTAGCCACCAGTTCATAGGCGAAAGGAGAATGAGTTCCTCGAAAAGGAGGCACAGCAGACACGCCTGGAGACTGTAAGTACCCAACTTGCATTCAGTGGCAGAGCTAGAGAGGAATCTGTACCATGGCCAAACAGTTGGGACGTGGGACAGGGACGTTAGACATGAGGAATATGTTCGAGACCTGAAGAAGTAGTGTGTGGGATGTGAGGACCTGCGCCTAGGAAGGGGGAGTCAGCAACTGACAAAGGGGGTCAGGGCCTGAGGAATCATAGAAAATAGGAATAGGCCATTCGATCCTCTGAGCCTGCTCCATTATTCAAAATTTTCGTGGCTGATTATCCAATTCAGCACCCAGTTCCCCCATCTCTTTAGCCCTAAGAACAAGATCTAACTCCTTCTTGAAAATATTCAATATTCTAGCCACAACTATTGAAATTCCACAGGCTTATCACTCTCTGGCTGAAGAAATTTTTCCTCATCTCAGTCCTACATGGCCTACCCCATATCCTCAGACTGTGATCCCTGGTCATCGGGTACACCCTGCCTGTGTTTAGCCTGTCTGGTCCAGTTAGAGTTTTAGAAGTTTCCATGAGATCTCCCCTCATTCTTCTAAACTCCACTGAATATAGTCCTCATTGATCTAGTCTGTCTTCATCTGACTCTGGTCTCTTGCTCATTGCCTCCTGTCCCCTCTTCACCACTCGAGCCTTTGCCTGAAGCTGTCTAGAAGCAAAGCTGTGGAATGCCCTCCCTAAACACCTTTGCCTCCCTCTCCTTTTTTAAGACCACCTTTAAAACACACCTGTTTGACATTGATTGTCCCTGCATCTCTTTCTTAGGCTTGCTACACTGTTTGTTTTATTATTCTCCTGTGAAGCCACAATGGGGCGTTTTTCCTGCTGATGTTAGTATGTTGTTTTTGTCTCCAGTTCAGTTCAATGGGTGGGATGTGAGAAGCAGTCACAGTACAGGATTGTAACCATTAGAGGGAGGCAGAATGCTTTTAACATTTAAGAAAGATGTTCAAAATCACGAGGGATTTGGTTAGAGCAGTTAGGAAGCAGCAGATTGGACAGGCAAAAGATACGGATTTAATTAAGAAAAGAATTACAGGTGAGAATTGGAGAATTCTTTTTAACCCAGTGCACTGTTATGGTTTTTATTCTGTATTCTTTCTTAGGATGTAGCCGTTGATAGCAAAGGTCGCGACTGTCTTTATACTTCAGAATTATTTAATTTAAACTCTTCATCTGGCACGATAGGGTGGTGGAAATAAATGGAGTTGGAATTTTCAAAAGAGAATTGGATTGAAATTTGGACTAATCTTTCAAAGAGCCATCAAAGGCAAAGGGGGCAGAATGACCTCTTTCCCTGCTGGATGGTTCACTGTTTCTGTGATCAGCTGACTGAAGCTCCATGTGAAAATTCAGATCAGTCACCTGGTCTGAAACTGGATCCTGTCACCATTGCCCTGACAGTCTCAACATTGACTCTGGACCCCATGAAGTCTCATGGCTTCAGGTTAAACATGGGCAAGGAAACTTTCTGTTGAAAACCATGTACCGTCCTCCATCAGCTGATGAATTGTTACTCCTCCATTTTGAATAACACTTGGAGGAAGCACTGAGGGTGTCAAGGGTATAAACTGTAATATGGATGGGGAGTTTCAATGTCCACCATCAAGAATGGCTTGGCAACGGTACTGCTGATTGGGCTGTTCGGGTCCCAAAGGACATAGCTGCTGAACTGGATCTGTGGCAGCTGGTGAAGGAACCAAGAAGAGGGAAAAGCATATTTGACCTCGTCCTTACCAATCTGCCTGCTGCAGATGCATCTGTCCATGACAGTATTGGAAAGAGTGACCACCGCACAGTCCTTGTGGAGATGAAGTCCCACCTTAGAATCTAATGATGACCATGATTGTCAGGAAAAAGAATCCATCTGGTTCACTCATGTCCTTTAGGGAAAGAAACTGCCATTCTTACCTAGCCTGGCCTACATGTGACTCCAGACCCACATCAATGTGATTGACTCTTAACTGCACTCTAGGCAACTAGGGATGGGCAACAAATGCTGCCTAGCCAGTGATGCCCTCATCCTGTTAATGAATAAAGAACCTTCACATTGAGAACACCCTCTGTGGTGTTGTGTGCCACTATCACTGTGCTGAATGGGACAGACTTTGGACAGATCTAGATACTCAAGACTGGGCATTCATGAGGCGCCGTGGGCCATCAGCAGCAGGAGAATTGTACTCCAGCACATTCTGCAACTTCATGGCCTGAGTTATCCCCTTCTCAACCATTACCATCAAGCCTGGGGATCAACCCTGGTTTGACAGTGAGTGCAGGAAGGCATGCCAGGAGCAGCACCAAGCATACCTAAAACTGAAGTGTCAACATTGTGAAGCTAACAAACAGGACTACCTGCACATCAAACAGCTGCAAGTGATAAACTGAACTAAGCGATCCCACAACCAACAAATCAGATCTAAGCTCTGCAGTTCTGCCACATCAAGTTGTGAATGGTCGTGGACAATTAAACAATTCATGGGAGGAAGAAGCTCCACAAATACCCTCATCCTCAGTGATGGGAGAGCCTAGCACATCAGTGCAAAAGATAAGGCATGAAGCATTCACACAGTCTTCAGCCAGAAGTGCCGTGTGGATGATTCAACATTACAGGTACCAGTCTTCAGTGAATTCAGTTCACTCCATGTGATATCAAGAAACAGTTGGAGGCAGTGGATACTGCAAAGGCTATGGGTCCTGACAGCATTCCGGCAATCGTACTGAAGACTTGTGCTCCAGAACTTGCTGCTCCCTAGCCAAGCTGTTCCAGTACAGTCAGTGGCATCCCCCCAAAAATGTGGAAAATTGCCCAGCTATGTCCTGTACATAAACAGCAGGACAAATCCAACCCGGCCAATTACCGCCCCATCAGTCTACTCTCGATCAACAGTAAAATGCTGGAAGTTGTCATCAACAGTGCTATCAAGCAGCACCTGCTCAGTAATAACCTGCTCAGTGTCACCCCGTTTGGGTTCTGCTAAGGCCACTGAGCTCCTCATTACAGTCATAGAGTCTTACAGCATGGAGACAGGCCCTTCGGCCCAAACTGGTCCATGCTGACCAAAATGCCCATCCACGCTAATCTCATTTCCCTGCGTTTGGCCCATATCCTTCCAAATGCCTTTTAAATGTTGTTAATGTACCCACTTCAACCACTTCCGCTCGCAGCTTATTCCATAAGCGCACCACCCTCTGTGTAAAAAAAATTGCCCCTCAGGTTCCCATTTATTCTTTCCCCTCTTGTGTTAAACTGATGCCGTCTAATCCTCGATTCCCCAACCCTGAGAAAAAGACTGAGTGCATTCACCCTATCCATGCCTCTCATGATCTTATACACTTCTATAAGATCCCCCCCTCAGTCTCCTATGCTGTAAATAAAGAAAAAGTCCTATCTTGTCCAACGTCTCCCTTAAGTCCTGGCAACATCCTTGTAAATTTCTTCTGCACTCTTTCCAATTTAATAATATCCTCCCTATAGCAAGGTGACCAGAATTGAACACAACACTCCAAGAATGGCCACACCAACGACCTGTACAACTGCAACACAACTTCCCAACTTCTATACTCAGTGCCCTGACTGATGAAGGCTAGTGTGCCAAAAGCCTTCTTCACTGCCCTGTCTACCTGTGACTCCACTTCCAGGGAACCATGCACCTGAACTCCAAGGTCCCTTTGTTCCACTACACTACTTAAGGCCCTATCATTCACCATGAAACTCCTACCTTGATTTGACTTCACAGAATGCAACACCTCACACATATCTCTCAAACTCCATTTGCCATTTTTCAGCCCATTTCCCCAGCTGATCAAGATCCTGCTTCAATTTCTGATAACCTGCCTCACTGTCCCCGATACCGCCTGTTTTAGTGTCATCCACCCACTTACTAATCATGCCTTGTACATTCTCATTCAAATCATTAATATAGATAACAAACAGCAATGGGCCCAGCACCGACCCCTGAGACACACCACTAGTCACAGGCCTCCAATCAGACAAGCATCCTTCCATTGTTACTCTCTGCTTCCTACCATCAAGCCAATTGTGTATTCAATTTGCCAGCTCTCCGTGGATTCCATGTGATCTAACCTTCCAGAGCAGCCTACCATGTGGAACCTTATCAAAGGCCTTACTGAAATCCATATCAACTACGTCTACTGCCCTGCCCTCATCAACCTTCCTGGTCACTTCATCAAAGAACTCTGAAAAATTTGTGAGGCACGATCTCCCACGCACAAAGCCATGCTGACTCTCCTAAACAACCCTGTCTTTCTAAATGCATGTATATCTGATCCCTCCGAATCTTCTCAAGTAACTTACCTGCTACAGATGTTAGACTTACTGGTCTATAGTTCCTGGGTTTTTCTTTGCAGCCCTTCTTGAATTAGGGCACAACTTTCGCTACCCTCCAGTCTTCTAGGATTTCACCCGTGGCTAATGATGATGCAGATATATCAGCTAGGACCTCTGCAATTTCTTCTCTAGCCTCTTGCAGGGTTCTTCGATATATCTGGTCAGGGCCACAAGATTTATCCACCTTCATGTATTCTAATACGTCCAACACCACCTCTACTGTGATATGGACTGTCCTCAAGATAATGTCGCTAACTTTCCTAAGTTCCCAAGTCTTCATGTCCTACTCCACAGTAAATATTCGGGAGAAATATTCATTGAGGACCTCACCCATCTCCTGCAGTTCCACGCACACATGTCCACTTTAGTCCTTGAGGGGTTTTGTTCTCTGTCTTGTTATTCTTTTTCCTTTAATGTACTTAAAGAATCTCTTTGGATTCACCCTAATCTTCTCAGCCAAAGCTATTTCGTGCCCCCTTTTCGCCCTCCTGATTTCCTTCTTCAGTAAACTCTTGTATCCCCTTTATACCTGCAGGGATTCCCTTGATCCCAGCTGCCTGTACCTGAGCTGTGCCTCCTCCTGGTCAAAGCTTCAATATCTCTTGTCACCCAGGGTTCCTTGCTCCTGCCAACCTTGCCCTTCACCCTCACAGGAGCATATAAACCTTGAACTCTTGCTATCACACTTAAAAAGCCTCCCACTTGTTGGAGGTCCCTTTGCCTGCAAACTAACTACTCCAATTAACCCCTGCAAGCTCCTGTCGAATTCCATCAAAATCCACTTTGCCCCAGTGTTGAACTTGAACCTGTGGACCTGTTTTGTCCCTCTCCATAACTATTTTAAAATTAATAAAACGACGATCACTGGTCCCAAAGTGCTCCCCCACTGTCATCTCAGTCACCTGTCCTGCCCTATTTCCCAAGAGTAGTTTGAGTTTTGCCCCTTCCCGAGTAGGACCCTCTACATGCTGCTTGAAGAAACTTTCTTGAACTCACTTAACAAATTCCACACCATCTAAGCCCTTAACATTATGGCAGTCCCAGTCTATGTTAGGAAAACTAAAATTCCCTACTATGACAACCCTGTTACTCCTGCAAGTCTCCCCAGTCTCCCTACATAATTCCCATTGACTATTTGGCCCCCAACTAGTCAAGTACAGCCCCAGTAACGTCACCATCTACTTCTTATTTCTTAGCTCTACCTACAAAGCCTCACTGAATGATCCCTCAGTTATTTCATCTCTGACTACTGCTGTGATACTCCTCTTAATCAAAAATGCAACTCCCCCCTCCCCTCTTTCCTCCCCCTCTGTCCCACCTAAAGCACCTGTACCCTGGCACGTTAAGCTGTCAGTCTTGTCTCTCCCTTAGCCATGTTTCTGTAATGGCTATAAATCCAAGTCCCACCTACCTATCCACAACCTGAGTTCATCGGATCTCTAGCATTGAAATTGATGTAATTTAACCCACCAGGCATTCCTCGCTCCCTGTCCTGTTCCAGCCTGACCTGTCTCTTCAACTTGGTATTTTTGATTACTGTGTCTCCTTCCAGCCTCACACTTGCCTCCCTGCTGTTGAGGATCCACCAGCACCATAAATGAATAAAAAAATGGAGGGATTGTCTTATGAGCAAGGCTGAACAGGTTGGGACTCTACTTCCTGAAGTTTAGAAGAATGAGAGGTGATCTCATTGAAACATATAGAATTTTTAAAGAACTTGACAGGGTAAATGAGAGGATGGTTTCCATCGTGGGAGAATCTAGGCCCAAAGGCCTGAGTCTCAGAATAAAGAGGCACCAATTTAAGACTGAGGTGAGGAGGAATTTCTTCTCTCTTAAGGGTTGAGAGTCTTTGGAACTCCTTGCCACAGAGAGCTGTGGGGGGAAGAGTCGTTTTGTATATTTAAGTCTGAGATAGATTCTTGATCAGTCGGGAAATCAAAGGTTATGGGGAAAGGGCAGGAAAGTGGATACGAAGAATGTTAGAGCAGTCATGATCCTTTTGAATGGCGAAACAGGCTTGAGGGGCCGAACAGCCTACTCTTCTTTCTATTTCTTATACTCTGAAGAAGGGTCACTGGACTCTAAATGTTAGCGTTATTTTCTGTCCACAAATGCTGCAAAACTTGCTGAATTTCTCCAGAAATTTCTGTTTTTGTTTCAGATCTTGAGAATCACAGTTCTTTGTTTTACATTACTGCCGTTTTTACTGTGCATTATCCCATTACCTCAGCATATTATTGTGCTGTAACATGAGATAAACTGTGCATTAGCCCATATTTAAATCATTTAACTCCTTCAATATTCTTTAGTTAATCAGCATTTTTGGCTGTGCAGCTAAACATGGCTCTATAAATCTTAACATACTTTAATTTTTACCTGGTTTAGCATGAATACATCGTCCAGATGTCAAAAAGGACTGAGAAAAGGCAGAATCAGATCATTACACTGAATGATCAGAATCGCCAGAACTTGGAAGAAATCAGGAATGCAAAGGAGAAAATACTGGCTGAATTTGAGGTACAGAAACAAGGTTTGTTCAAATGCAAATCAGGCTGTTTGATATGAGCGACAAATGCACTTGCCTCATTCACCGCTCTGTGTTGCAACAGCTACTAACCATAATTCCACACAAATAATATTCATTTTGGAAACAATTCATTAGAAGGTCACTGTCTAATTCCTGTGAGGAGGTGGTTCCCTTACAAAGGAAGGTTGAACAGGTTGGGGAAGCAATGGCCTAGTGGTATTGTTTGACTGTTATTCCAGAGACCCAGATAACATTCTGGGGATGCAGGTTTGAATCCTGCCATGGCGCATAATGGAATTTGAATTCAATAAATATCCAGAATTAAGAGTCTGATGATGACTGCAATCCATTGCATTGGCAAGGAAAAAACCATCTGATCACTCATGTCCTTTAGGGAAGGAAACTACCATCTTCACCTGGTCTGGCCTACATGTGACTCCAGACCCACAGCAATGTGGTTGACTCTTAACTGCCCTCTGGGCAATTAGGGACGGACAATAAATACTGCTTTAGCCAGTGACGTCCTCATCCTGTGAATGAATGAAAAAGTTGAGCCCCTATTACTTGGAGTTTAGAAGAATGGGAATCTTATTGAAACATATATGATTCTGAGCGGGGTTGACAAGCTGGCAGCTGGGAGGAGTTTCGCCCTCAGGGGTGGGGGAGCTGGAGTCAAGAACAATGGGACACAGTTTCAAAATAAGAGAGTGTCCCATTTAATACGTAAGTGACGAATTCCTTGTCTCGGAGGTTGTTAGTACTTGGGATCTCCTACACAGAGAGCCGTGAAAGCAAGGCCAACAGCGGAAACTGAGATGAAATCAAATATTAAGAGGCTGAAGGTGCTGAATTGCCTAATCCTGCTCCTAGTTCTTATCCAGACTGAGTTAAACAAAGTTTCAATCTATTAGGCACGAGGGTTCTAGGAACAGGCAGGAAAGTGGGGTCAAGGCCATAAACAGATCCTATTGACTGGCAGAGATAGTAGGAACTGCAGATGCTGGAGAATCCGAGACAACAAGGTGCAGGGCTGGATGAACACAGCAGGCCAAGCAGCATCATAGGAGCAGAGAGGCTGACGTTTCGGGCCTAGACCCTTCATCAGAAAAGGGGCGGGGGGGGGGGGGTGTGGGTGGGAAGGGTGTTCTGAAATAAATAGGGAGAGAGTGGGAGGCGGATAGAAGAGGGATAGAGGAGAGGATAGGTGGAGAGGAAACAAACAGGTCGAAGAGGCGGGGATGGAGCCAGTAAAGGTGAGTGTAGGTAGGGAGTTAGGAAGGGGATAGGTCAGTCCAGGGAGGACGGACAGGTCAAGGGGGCGGGATGAGATTGGTCGGTAGGAGATGGAGGTGCGGCTTGAGGTGGGAGGAGGGGATAGGTGGGAGGAAGAACAGGTTAGGGAGGCAGGGACGAGCTGGACTGGTTTTGGGATGCAGTAGGGGGAGGGGAGATTTTGAATGTTGACTGGCAGAGCAGGCTCAAGGGGCTAAATGCCTTCTCCTGCTCCTATTTCTTCTGCCTTTATTTGATCCATCATACTTGGCTCGATAAATGCTCTATGCAATTGCCAACTTTCCTTATACGTTGTCAATAGCCCTGCATACCTGTTATTTATAAGTATTTCTTCAATTCACGCTTTTTAAAGTTTTGATTGAGTCTGCTTTCATCTTTTCAGGCAGTACGTTCCACATTGCAGCTCACTGTGTAGGGACAAATGTTCATCTCCCCCTGATTATTTGCCAATTATATCCTGTGGTTACTGATCCTTCTGGAAGTGGAAGCAGTTCCTCTCTACTTGCTTGATCAAAACCTCTCATCATTTTCAATCATGCCATTAAATCACTCTTTAATTCTCCAAGGAGAAGTTTTCCAGTTTCTCTAATCTCTATCCGTTAAGTGTTGTCCAATTACCAATCTTTCCTGTAAATCTCTTCTAAGCATCCTCTAGAAGGCCTTGACATTCTTTCTAAAGCATGGTACTTGTAATGAGTATGGTGAAGGTTGTACTAAGGACTTGATAGGTTACTGAGAGAGAAAATAGTTTCACTGCTGGGGGAATCCAGGACAAGGGAGATAAGCTCAAATTTTAAAAGTTGTTTGAGAATCGATGGCAAGGCCAAAGCTGCTGAGGTTGGGAGTCCTTTGCAAGTTTTGATTTTTAAATTTCTGAAGTGCCTGCAAGTTTGAAAAGAAAGAAGACTGCATTTATTTAGTATTTTTAACTAGCACCAGGTATTTCAAAGCATTTTTCAAAGCTAATGAAGTACCTTTAAGGTGTAGTCACTGTTGTAATGTAAGAAACTCAGAAGCAATTTGCATGGAGCAAGCTAATATTACCAACTATATGGTAATGACCAGATAATCTGTTTTGATGTATAATCAATAAATATTGACAAGAACAGAGATGAGTTCCACAATCTTCTTTGAATCTTGTACATACACCTGAGAGGGTAGACAGGGCCTCAATTTAAAATTGCAACCAAAATATGGCACCTTCAACAATGCAGCCCTAGGGGGACAGACTTGACTTCTTTTGACTTTTGAAATCTTTTGACTTAGAGGCAACACTGTTACTGAGCTATGCTGACATTTTTAAAACAAAACTGTTCATGGGATGAGGGCGTCGCTGACTGGACCAGCATTTATTGTCTGTCCCTAGTTGGCCTTGAGAAGGTGGTGGTGAGCTGCCTTCTTGAACCGCTGCAGTCCATGTGCTGTGGGTTGACCCACAATGCCATTAGGGAGGGAATTCTAGGATTTTGACCCAGCGACAGTAAAGGAACGGCAATATATTTCCAAGTCAGGATGGTGAGTGGCTTGGAGGGGAACTTGCAGGGGGTGGTGTTCCCATGTATCTGCTGCCCTTGTCCTTTGAGATGGGAGCGATTGTGTGTTTGGAAGGCGCTAAGGACCTCGGGCTAAATGTTTGAATTGGAGTGCTGTAACTGCTTCTGTGTGCTGAACCCATGGAAAAGATAGTCAATGGTCTGGGGTTTTTGCAAAGTTGCTCCCTTAATTGACATAGAGACAAGATTCTTATCTAATTAATGGGAAAGCCTGAGATCCCATCTGAGACACTCCGGCTTCAGAGGCACACAGGTGAGCAATAACAGGTGAGCGGACGCTTTAACAAGCATGTATCTCACAAATTTTATTAAATGTTAAATAAAAACAGAGTCAGCTCATCACTGGAGGTGTTGAATGATAGGCAGCTTATATGGAAGTGGGATGATATTTTAGAGGTGGATGTGTACAGGGCACCTTTTGAGTGAGGTGCCCACTATTTATTCCTACCATTTTTCATCTAGACCACAAAATAGACTGGCCATGCCAACTTGCCTGTCCCCACAAGCATATTATGGTATAGACAATACATTATCCTGCTCAATGGACATGCTAACCAACCTAACAGACCTTTAATTAATCATTAATGTCTAGCAATATCATGAGCTGTTGTTTCTATCTAACAATGACCATACTACAAATTGTCCTTAGAGATTCTGTATGTGAAAGACGGTCTATAAATGTAAGACTTTCTTTGGCATGACTTACAGGAAATATTTTAGCTGAAGTGTAATTTATGAACATTTATAGCATTGATGGAACTGAATGCAGATAGTCACAAAGCTGGGAAATGCCTAGTACATCTGTTTTTTGTTTCTCTCTACTTTCTTCAGAACTGGAAATGGAACAAGCAGAGAAAGAAAATGAGCTGCTTCAGCTTAAGAAGGAGATTGAGGACCTGGGCGAATATAAAGTAAGTGAACCTCTCACCTGAGTAGAGCATTTCAGCTGGGCAGGATTTTATTTTGGCAACCTAACCAAAGCTTTGTCTGATACTCTGGATGTCCAGTAAGGTAACCATTAGAGATGAGAGTTCAAAACTCCTCACTGCTGTTTTAAAAATCCGCAGGTATGAAGCTGGTCGTGAGAAAAATGACCTGTCTGATACTTTGCATTTTAAAGTTGAGGTATGCCAAGAATGGCAGGGTGAGGTATCTCACATGATCACACGCTTGTCAGATCAGTAATGATCATTGTATGATTAAGCCAGTTCTGTATCCATCTTACCAGCTCACCACAGATCAGTGTTAATTTCAGTTTTGTATTAGCCTGACGTGAGGGACCTTGTCAGAGGCAGTCCATGCAGACAATGTCTACTGACTTGCTGTCATCAATCATCTTTGTCACTTCCTCAAAAAACTCAATTAAGTTTGAGCGACATGACCTTTCCTGGACAAAGCCATGCTACCTATTGCTAACAAGTCCATAGTTTTCCCAAATAGGAGTAAGTCTTATCCCTAAGAATCTTCTCCAAGAATTTTCCTACCACTTACATAAGGCTCACTGACCTGTAATTTGCCGGATTTTCCCTGTCGCCCTTCTTAAACAAAGGATAAACATTGGGTATTCTCCAGTCCTCTCCTGTGACTAAACAGGATACAAAGATTTCATACAAAGCCGCAACAGGTCCTGGGGACTTGTCTACTTTAATGCTTTTTGAAACACCAACACCACCTTTTTCATATTGACGTGCCCCAGCATATCAACATACCCATCTCGAAACTTACCATCCACCATATCCTTCTCCTTGGTGAATGCTGATGCAAAATATCCGTAAGGACCTCACTCACTGCTTCCAGCTCCACATATAAATTCTGCCATTCGTCCTTGAGTGGACCTACCCTTACCCTAGCTACCCTCTAGCTCCTTATATATGTATAAAACACCTTGGGATTTTCATTAATCCTTTTTGCCAAAGACTTTTCATGGCCCCTTTTAGCCCTCCTAATACCTTGTTTGAGTTCTTTTCTGCTATCTTTGTATTCTTTGAGGGCTGTGTCTCTCTTCGGTTCCTAAACCTTACGTATGCCTCCTTTTTCTTTTTGACTAAGGTCTCAATTTCTTTTACCATCCAAGATTCCTGAATCTTACCATCCTTATCCTTCATTTTTACAGGAGCATGCTGGTCCTGAACACGAATCAATTGGCCTTTAAAAGGTTCCCACATACCAGATGTAGATTTATCCTCAAACAACCACCCCCAATCTACATTCCCCAGTTCCTGCCTAATATTGTGGTAGTCAGCCTTCCCCCAATTTAAAACTTCGACCCGAGGACTACTCACGTCCTTATCAATAAGTAACTTTAAACTTAGAGATTTACAGTCGCTCTTCCCGAAATGCTCCCCCACTGAAACTTCAATCACCTGTCCGGGTACATTCCCCAATACCAGGTCTAGTATGCCCCTTCCCTAGTTGGACTATTTATATATTGCTTCAAAAACTATCCTGGACACATTTAACAAACCTTCCTCATCCTCACCCTGGCTCTAAGTTAAAATCACCTATCAAAACACCCTGTTGTTTTCATATTTTTCCATAATCTGCCCACATATCTTTTTCTTTATTATCCTCCCTGGCTTTTCGGAGGATTGTGGTACAATCCCATTCAAAGTGATTGCACCCTTCCTATTCCTGAGCTCTACCCATATGGCCTCACTGGATGAGCCCTCCCTCAGTACAGCTGTGATCTTCTCCCTTATCAATATCAGTAATCCTGTTATCATCTGTAGAACATAAGAAGGTTCTCCAAAGTGAAAGATGTGCAGCATCTTCAACCAGCGAAGGGACTCGCTTTTCAATCATGTGCCTTAGAACCTCTCTCACACTCAGTAATGTGGGTGACTCAAGATCATCTCATCCTCAGGGAACCATATCTAAAAGTTGGGGATTGCAGTAAAGGTACTGCAGATTAACTAAGCCTTGGGTGTCTAACTGGTCGATCCCATTTATTCTCTTTATGAGAATGGCAATAGAATTTGTCATATATCTACAGGCTTCAGGAGAGAAAGTTCTGACTGTGTCTAGGGTTCTCAAAGCCACTCTACAACATGGATATCTAACAGTCCCCATTAACAACTATTCACCTTCCTAGCCAGATTGTTATCAACTCTTTTGTCTATCCAATTGTTCTTCTCTCTTTTCAGGCTCTATCCTATCGTTTGTTCCCTACCCATCCCCCTCCCTATTTTCTGCATATAAACCGACGTTTTCCCAGCTACCATCAGTTCTGAGGAAGGGTCACTGGACCTGAAATGTTAACTCTGATTTTTTTTCTTCACAGATGCTGCCAGACCTGCTGAGCTTTTCCAGCAACTTCTGTTTTTGTTGTTGTGTATGGATATCTGTGAAGTGGGCAATGGCCAAATGACCTGGCAATTTACCACAAATGTGAAGCTGAATGGAAGGAACAGATCTACACTTCATAGCCCTTGGTCCTGGGAGTTTTGTCAGTGAAAGTGCTCAGGCATTGTAAGGGTACAGTGAAGGCTCATTCCATTCTGCAGTACAGCAGTGAGGATTTAAACTGTAGGTAGTTTTCACCAGGGCCGGAAACCCTCTGATGAGACTCTTAAGTCTTGGATGTAAGGACTATTTTATTGCAGATATCCAGATGGTGGTGCTCACTGTCTTAGTACTAATGTTGGTCTAGGACAAGATTTGCACATGCACTTTATCTTTCACAGAGATGAGAACATAAGAACCACAAGAAAAAATCATTATTTTACTAGGTTATTGGTCAAATAGAAATACAACTTCATCCTTGAGGAATGTGGCAGGCAGCAAGTCAAGGGCTGACAATCAACTGTGCAAATGAGATATCAATAAGAACAGAAGTCTCATCCCAAATCAGTCATCCTGGAAGTGGCTGACTATAAGGTTATCTCTGGACTGTTGGGATCAGTGGACTAATGCCCTGCCTTCCTCTCTTTGAAAGTTATCCTGGCATATCTCCAGAATCTCACCCTTGTCCTCATTCTCAGAGGTTTCCAGGGAAGTACATCCCAGCCTATTCCAGCCTTTCCTTATAACCCAAACCTTCCAGTCTCAGTAACATCCTTGTGAACCTTTCTTGCAACTTTTCCAGTTTAATAACATCCGTCCTATAGCAGGATGACCTCAATTGGCTTGTACACCTGTAACATGGCATTCCAACTCCTGGACTCAGTGCTTTGACTGATAAAGGCAAGTGTGTCAAAAGCCTTCTTTACCACCCTGTCTACCTGTGATGCCACTTTCCAGGAACTACATAGCTGAACCCCAAGTCCCTCTGTTCAAAAACACTCTCCAGGGCCCTTCTATTAACTGTGTGAGTCCTACCTTGGTTTGTCTTACCAAAATGCCACATTTGGATAAATTAAGCTATGAGGAGAGGTTGGAGAAACTTGGGTTGTTCTCACTGGAACGACGGAGTTTGAGGGGGGACCTGATAGAGGTCTACAAGATTATAAAGGGCATGGACAGACTTGACAGTCAGAAGCTTTTTCTCAGGGTGGAAGAGTCAGTTACCAGTGGCCATGGGTTTAAGATGCGAGGGGCAAGGTTTAAAGGTGATGTACGAGGCAAGTTTTTTACACAAAGGGTGGTGGGTGCCTGGAACTCGCTGCCAGGGGAGGTAGTGGAAGCAGATACAATAGTGACTTTTAAAGGGTGTCTTGACAAATATATGAATAGGATGGGAATAGAGGGATACGGTCCCCGGAAGGGTAGGGGGTTTTAGTTGTGACGGCCAGCATGTTATTGCAAGCTTGGAAGGCTGAAGGGCCTGTTCCTGTGCTGTAATTTTCTTTGTTCTTTGTTCTAACCTGCATCTGCCATTCCTTGGCCCCCTGGCCCTAATGATCAAGATCCCATTGATCTCTTAGATAACTTTCTTCACTGTCCACTATACCAACAATTTTGATGTCATCCACAAACTTACTAACCACACTTCCTATACTCTCATCCAAATCATTTATATAAACGACGAACGACAGTGGACCCAGCACTGATCCATGTGGAACACCACTGGTCACAGACCTAAAATGTGAACAACAATCCTGTACCTCTACCCACTGCCTCCTACTGTCAAGACAAAAGTATGTTTCCAGTAGGCTAGCTCTCCCTGGATCCCACATGATCTCACCTTACTAACCAGTCTACCATGCGGAACCTTGTTGAAGGCCTTGCTAAAGTTCATGTAGACAACATCATCTACTCTGCCTTCATCTATGTTCTTGGTCACCTCTTCAAAAACTCAAATCAAGCTTGTGAGACATGATTTCCTATGCACAAAACCATGTTGACTATTCCTAATTAGTCCTTGCCTTTCCAAATGCATGTAGATCCTGTCTCAGAATCTGCTCCACAACTTACTGAACACAGACAACAGGTTCACTGGTCTATAGTTCCCAGGCTTCTCCTTGTATCTTTCTTAAATAATGGCACAACATTAGCCACCCTTCAGTCTTCTGTGGCTATTGATGACACAAATGTCTCTGCTAGGGACTCTGCAGTTTCTTCCCTAGCTTCCTACAATGTCCTGCAATACACTTGATCAGGTCCTGGGATTTATCTGCCCTTATGTATTTTAAGACCTCCAGCACCTCCTCTTCTGTAATGTGGGCTCTTTTCAAGGCATCACTATTTATTTCCACAAGTTCTTTAGCTTCAGTGCCTTTCTTCACAATAAATACTGACATGAAATATTCATTTAGGATCTCACCCATGCCCTGTGGTTTCACACATAGATGGCCTCATTGATCTTTTAAGGGGCCCTATTCTCTCCCTACTCTTCTGCCCTTAGTATACTTGCATGATCCCTGGACTCTCCTTAACCCTATGTGCCAAAGTCCCCTTTCTGCCCTCCTGATTTCCTTCTCAAGTGTACTCCTACACCCCCTATATTCCTCAAGGTATTCACTTGATCCCAGCTATCTATATCTGAATATGCCTGCTTTTTCTTGACCAGAGCCTCAATTTCTAGTCATCCAGTATTCCCTACTCCTGTCAGCTAGCTCCCTTCACACTAGCAGAAACATGCTGTCCCTGAACTCCCATTATCTCACTTTTGAAGGCCTGACACTTGCCCAGATGTCCCTTTACCTGCAAACAGCCTCCTCCAATTAACTTCTAAAAGTTCCTGTCTACTACCATCAAAATTGGCCTTGCCCCAGTTTAGAACTTTAACTTATGGACCAGACCTATCCTTTTCCATAACTATTTTAAAACTAATGCAATTACGGTCACTGGTTGCAGAGTGCTCCCCCAATAACACCGCAGTCACTTCCTCTGCTTATTTCCCAAGAGGAGGTCAAGTTTTGCTCCTTCTCTAGTAGGGCCATCTACACGTTGTTTGAGAAGGTTTTCTTGAACACACTTAACAAATTCCTCCCTATCCAAGCCCTATGACAGTCCAAGTCTAAGTATGGAAAGTTAAAATCCCTGACTGTTACAATCCTATCATTCTCACAGCTATCTGCAATCTCCCTACATATTTGCTCCTCAATGTCCTGCTGACTATCGAGTGGGACTTGTGATACAATCCCAAAGTGATCATCTCCTTATTATTTCTCAGTTCTACCCATATCGACAATCTTCCAGGAATATCTTAAGTACTGCTGTGATGTTTTCCCTAATCAGAAAGGAAGAAGGAGCTTACTTAAGGTTGAGGAGCAAGGATCGGACAGGGCTCTAGAGGGTTACAAGGGATCCAGGAAGTAACTGAAGAATGGACTTAGGAGAGCTAGAAGGGGGCATGAAAAAGTCTTGGTGGGTAGGATTAAGGAAAACCCCAAGGCGTTCTATACTTATGTGAAGAACAAGTGGATGGCCAGAGTGAGGGTAGGGCCAATCAGGGATAGTGGAGGGAACTTGTGCGTGGAGTCAGAGGAGGTAGGGGAGGTCCTTAATGAATACTTTGCTTTGGTATTCACCAGTGAGAAGGGCTTTGTAGTTTATGAGGACAGCACGAAACAGGCTGATATGCTGAACAGGTTGGTGTTAGGAAGGAGGATGTGCCAGAAATTTTGAAAAACATGAGGATAGATAAGTCCCCTGGGTCAGATGGGATATACACAAGGTTACTATGGGAAGCGAGGGAAGAGATTGCTGCCCCTTTGGCGATGAACTTTGCATCCTCACTGTCCACTGGAGTAGTACCAGATGATTGGAGGGTGGCAAACGTCATTCCCTTGTTCAAGAAAGGGAATAGGGATAATCCTGGGAATTACAGACCAGTCAGTCTTACTTCTGTGGTGGGCAAATTATTGGAGAGGATTCTGAGAGATAGGATTTATGATTATTTGGAAAAGCACAGTTTGATTAGAAATAGTCAGCATGGTTTTGTGAGGGGCAGGTCCAACCTCACAAGCCTTATTGAATTCTTTGAGGATGTGACAAAACACATTGATGAAGATAGAACAGTGGATGTGGTATATCAGGATTTTAGCAAGGCGATTGATAAGGTTCCCCATGGTAGGCTCATTCAGAAAGTAAGGAGGCATGGGATTCAGGGAAGTTTGTCTGTCTGGATACAAAACTGGCTGTCCAATAAAAGACAGAGGGTGGTAGTGGTTGGAAAGTATTCAGCCTGGAGCTCAGTGACCAGTGGTGTTCCGCAGGGATCTGTTCTAGGACCTCTGTTTGTGATCTTTATAAATGACTTGGATGAGGAAGTGGAAGGGTGGGTTAGTATTTTTGCCGATGACACGAAGGTTCGTGGAGTTGTGGACAGCGTGAAGAGCTGTTGTAGGTTGCAACGGGAGATTAAGGGCAAAGAAGTGGCAGATGGAATTCAACCCAGAAAAGTGTGAAGTGATTCATTTTGGAAGGTCGAATTTGAATGCAGAACACAGGGTTAATGGCAGGATTCTTGGCAGTGTGGAGGAACAGAGGGATCTTGGGGTCCACATCCATAGATCCTCAAAGTTGCCACCCAAGTTGATAGGGTTGTTAAGAAGGCATATGGTGTGTTGGCTTTCATTGGCAGGGGAATTGAGTTTAAGAGCCATGAGGTTATGCTGCAGCTCTATAAAACTCTGGTCAGACCACACTTGGAATATTGTGTTCAGTTCTGGTCACCTCATTATAGGAAGGATGTGGAAGCTTTAGAGAGGGTGCAGAGGAGATTTACCAGGATGCTGCCTGGACTGGAGGGCAGGTCTTATGAGGAAAGGTTGAGGGAGCTGTGGCTTTTCTTATTGGAACGAAGAAGGATGAGAGGTGACTTGATAGAGGTGTGCAAGGTGATGAAAGGCATAGATAGAGTGGACAGTCAGAGACTTTTTCTCAAGGCGGAAATGACTATTAAGAGGGGGCATAATTTTAAGGTGATTGGAGGAAGGTATAGGGGAGATATCAGAGGTAGGGTCTTCACACAGAGGGTGGTGGGCATGTGGAATGCGCTCCCGGCAGTGGTAGTGGAGTCAGATACATTCGGGACATTTAAGCGACTCCTGGACAGGCACATGGAGGATAGTAAAATGTAGGATATGCAGGGTAGATTGATCTTAGTAGGATAATAGATCGGCACAACATTGTGGGCCAAAGGGTCTGTACTGTGCTGTACAGTTCTATGTTCTTAAAAGTGCCACTCCACCTTCTCTCTTGCCTCCCCTTCTATCCTTCCTATACTTGTTCCTATACCCCGGAATGTTGAGCTGCCAGTCCTGTCCCTCCCTCAGCCATGTTTCTATAATAGCTTTAATATCTCAGTTCCTTGTTCCCATCCATGCCCTGAGTTCATCTGCCTTACCTGACAGGCCACTAGACTAATTAATGCACTATTTATTGCTACAAATTCCCTTGAATAGCCATGAGAAAATGCAGGTGTGTTTGAACTGCTTTCCTAGTGTTTGTTTCATCATCAACTGGGCAGGCATTTGCTTCAGTAAAGCTGCAGGAGTGAGGATCATAGTCGGCAGGATTTGAAACTACGTGAGGCGGGGTTAACTCCAATAGTTTTCTGATCCATTGACTTAACCACTCAGCCGTGGCTACACCAACTGTTTGTTGGAATGCCCTGCTTTCTTTATTCTTTATTCATTTATGGGATGAGGTCATCGCTTTTAGGCAGCATTTATTGCCCATCCCTAATTGCCCAGAGGGCAGTTGAGAGTCAGCCACATTGCTGTGGTCTGGAGTCGCATGTAGGCAAGACCTGGTACGGATGGCAGTTTCCTTCCCTAAAGAGCATTAGTGAACCAGATGGGTTTTTCCAACAATCGATAATGGATTCATGATCGTCACTAGATTCTTAATTCCAGATACTTAATTGAATTCAAATTCCACCATCTGCTGTGGCAAGATTCAAACTCAGAGTGTCATCTTGGTCTCCGGATTAACAGTCCAGTGATAATACGACTAGACTGTTACCTTCCTTGCACTGTAGGAAGGTAATTGACATTCCACTCCCCATTATTTTCTCTCTGATACCTCCATCTCTATCTCCCACATCCTAACAAAGCTCAAGACTCAAAATGTTAACTCTGTTTCCACAAATGCTGTCAGACCTACTGAGTTTCTTCAGCAGTTTCTGTATTTGTTTCATATTTTCAGCATCTGCAGTGTTTTGCTTTTATCCATTTACTGTCTTGACATATGGAGCTACTGAACAGCCACCTCTTAAGTATAGAGCCACTGGGAGGTGCCTGTGGAACTGGACTGCATTGGGAACAAGATTGGCTAGGGGAAAAAGGAAAACAAAGGCCTCCGAGAGAAATAAAAAGAAGTAATTGTGGAATAAATGGTTTTATCCTCCCTCACCAGGAATTGCGGGAGCAACAGCTGGCAAGAATCAGGGAACTTGACAGTCTGGTGATGGATGCCCGGGCTAAACATTCTCAGTGTGTGCATGATCTCAAACTCAACTTCAACAAGGAGAAGGCTGAGTATAAACAGAATGCCAGGAGGATGGTGAAACAGCTGGAGAAGGATGCAAACAAGGTGAGCAACAAGAGTCTCAGTCTTTCAAACTCCAGAACCACCCCGAGATGATGCAGGCAGCCGGGTGATTTTGTGTGGGTAAGTTTATAGGGATCATTACTTAAAAACAGTGTGTTCCCGTCATTCTCTTGTCACTTTTTTCCTCTCAGATATGAGTCAACTGAGGCAGTCCCTTTTCCCTAATTCTTGCCCCATCTTTCAGCTGTGGGTCCATTCAGTTTTGTCAGACTGTCAAAGGGCATCACAATCGAGTGATCTCTCAGTGGGTACAACCCTCTAGCAGTATCTGATTGTTCAGTCCCTTGCCTGTACGTCACCCACTCAGAGTTGCAGTGGGAGGTTCTCATTCTTGACTGCAATGAGCTGATTAAACTGCAGTCCAGGGATGGAGCTTGGACTCTGTGTGTCCTGTCACTAACACACCAAATAAGGGACCAGTTAACTCTGAGATAACAAGGTGTGGAGCTGGATGAACACAGCAGGCCGAGCAGGAAGGCTGACGTTTCGGGCCTAGACCCTTCATCAGAATTGGGGGAGGGGAAGGGGGTTCTGAAACAAATAGGGAGAGAGGGGGAGGCAGATAGAAGATGGATAGAGGAGAAGATAGGTGGAGAGGAGACAGACAGGTCAAAGAGGCGAGGCTGGAGCCAGTAAAGGTGAGTGTAGGTGGGGAGGTAGGGAGGAGCTAGGTCAGTCCAGGGAGGACGGACAGGTCAAGGGGGCGGGATGAGGTTAGTAGGTAGGAAATGGGGGTGCGGCTTGAGGTGGGAGGAGGGGATAGGTGGGAGGAAGAACAGGTTAGGGCAGTGGGGACGAGCTGGGCTGGTTTTGGGATGCGGTAGGGGGAGGGGAGATTTTGAAGCTTGTGAAATCCACATTGATACCATTGAGCTGCAGGGTTCCCAAGCGGAATATGAGTTGCTGTTCCTGCAACCTTCGGGTGGCATCGTTGTGGCACTGCAAGAGGCCCAGGATGGACATGTCGTCTGAGGAATGGGAGGAGGAGTTGAAATAGTTCGCGACTGGGAGGTGCAGTTGTTTATTGCGAACCGAGCGTAGGTGTTCTGCAAAGCGGTCCCCAAGCCTCAGCTTGGTTTCCCTGATGTAGAGGAGGCCACAACGGGTACAGCAGATGCAGTATACCACATTGGCAGATGTGCAGGTGAACATCTGCTTGATGTGGAAAGTCTTCTTGGGGCCTGGGATGGGGGTGAGGGAGGAGGTGTGAGGGCAGGTGTAGCACTTCCTGTGGTTGCAGGGAAAAGTGCTGGTGTGGTGGAGCTGGAGGGGAGTATGGAGTGTACAAGGGAGTCACGGAGAGAGCGGTCCCTCCGGAAAGCAGATAACGGTGGGGAGGGAAAAATGCCTCCTCTACCAGTTAACTCTGTTTCAGTTATACTAATTCTGGTGAGTCTCTGCTTCAGAGTTAATTTCTCCAGTATTTCTGGCACATTTGCTGTATTGTTAATACTCGATTTATAAGCCCTGGATTTCCTAGGTCTTTTTAACCACTTACTCAACTTGCCCTGCCACCTTCAATGAAGCATTGTCAGTGTTGCAATGTCAGGAAATATCACAGCCAATTTTCATACAGTAAGGGAAGTAGGATTCCATAGCTTAAGAGCTAGTACCAGTTTGGGTTCAATATGCCAATTTGTCTTCTGCTGGACTGAAAATTTGATGAATCCAAGAGAAATGCAAAATGTGTGCAAAATCCACTGTGGGTCAAACAGGAGTGGTCTTGGCAGAACTTTACAGCAGTCATCAGGATTCCGATGTTGGGATTGAAAAAAAGTCCTGAGCTTGTGGGGGAGGCAGTGGTAATGTTAATGCGCTGAATTATTAATCCTGAACCCCAAGTTAACATTCTGGGAATACGGTTTTGAATCCCAACATTGCAGATGTTGATACTCAAATTAGTAAAAAAATTTGGAGTAAAAAGTTAGCCAATAATGACCACTGTTGAGTGTTGTAAAAATCCATTTGGTTCCCTAATATCCTTTAGGAAAGGTAATTTGCTATTCTGACGTGGTCCTACACGTGACTTCAGATCTACAGCGACATGATTGACTCGTAACTGCCCTCTGGGCAATTAAAAGATAGGCAATAAATTTATTGAACAAATGAAACAAAAACAAAACTTGCCAGCACTGGAATCTGCTCAGCAGTTTTTAAACCTCCGACCAGCTCCTGATTGGTTATATATTGGACTCATGTTCAATTAAGCGAGGCAAGCGGGTGAGAAGCTATAGTAGTGCCAGTTGGAAAGGGATACTGCTGAGAATGTTCTCAGAGGTGAAGCCCCTCCATGATGATCCCTGTACATGGCCCCTGCAATTTTGCAATATCAACCCCAGGATGCCATGGGAGACCACCGGGGTTTCTCTGGTGGCCTCCCTTTGTGGCAGAGGTTGCCTAGCCTTTGGCAAAATACCAGTAGCACTGCAAATAGCCCCTGATTGGACTTTAGTTATTCTAATTGGCTGTCCACTCCAAGGATTCAATGAGACTGCTCCTGGGAGTCAGTAAAATCCTCACTGTTCACACTACTTCTACACACCACAGTGAAGTTTGACAAACGCTCAGATGTACAGTCAAAGTCCATAGTGCAGGACATGGGTAAGCTTAACAAGAATGGGGCTGTGCATGCTGTAAATGACAAGATCCAATTAGGTGGCACAAAGGATGACAATTAAGAGGAGGAGGGAGCAACTTGAATTATATCTCAAAGTTAATATGAATTTCAAATCGTGCCCTGTGTCTTCCACAGGAGGCCGTCTGCTGTCTGATTGAGCATATTGAATCTATCAAGGTGGAGAACCAGCAGCTGAGGGAGGTGCTGGTGTGTTTGATCAGACGCTCCCGAGTTCTCCACGAGCAGCAGGAGGAGCTGGAGGCCCAGCACAAGCAGCTGCTCCAGGAGAGAGACTACTGCACCAAGTTGAGGACACTGCGGTATAGGAAGCAACTCAGTGAGTATGTGGAGCCAAAGGTCAAGGAGCAGTCAGAGACCATAAAGCAGCCAAAGGTAGAGGTGGAATCAGAAACCAAGGAGCAGCCAAAGGTCAAGGGGGAACCAGAAACTAAGCAGCAGCCATTAGTCAAGGTGGTGTCTGAAACTGAGGAGTCATCAGAGACCAAGGAGTCATCAGAAACTAAGGAAGAGCCGACACTTGAAGAACAAGATGATGAGGATTTCGACAGTGATGAGCTAGAAGATGGGTAGTTAGACAAGCTGGAAGAGGCTGAGTAGGAGAACATAGAAAGTGCCAGAAAAAAAAGCTTGAAATAGGAAAATTGTACTCCTTTAATCAGCTGCCTTTCCAGTGTAAATATGAGAAACCCTCCTTGATCCAAGGAAGTTGTTAGTCCTAATTAGACATTTTCCAATATTTTTTCCTTTTCAAAATTCTGCAACTTAATTTTTGTCTCCATCAATGAATATTAAACTGATGTATAGTACTGTCTTGAGTAGGAGTATTTTCTTGAAATTTTTTGAGGGCCAGCTGCGTTGCTATGGGTTTGAAGTTATAATGAAGCAAACTGCACCATGACTAAGGAGCTTGCTAGGCTACATCATCGGTATGAAGAACTGGTCCCAGGTCATAAATCACAAAAATCATTGTGCACAGTTACCCATGTTCTCCTGCTGGGGTATATACCACTGGTACATTACTCATCCAGTGTTGCCATCACCACCATAGCACTATTGCACTCAAAAATAAAATGTATACTGTTATAGTGGCTTCAAGGGATGAAGTTAGACAAATCCAAGATCATCATCTGTAAAGATCTAATTCATCCACCTAGAGAGATCGTAACGTTCTTGCATTGTAATATCTATTATAAACCGAATTATTTCAGGGTTCTCCATTACTGCATGCAGAAGACCATCATTTTCTCAAATAGTGGACGTCTCACAGAAATGTTATTGTGCAGGAAAAGGCCATTCAGCCTGTGCCTGCACCAGTTCTCCAAATGAGCATTATGACTTCCTGCCACAGTCCTGCCTTTTCCCCATATCCTTGCTGTTGTTTCTATTCAAATAATCACACAATGCCCTCGTGTGCCTCAACTGAACCTGCCTTCACCGCTGTTCGAGGTTGTGTATTCCAGACCTGAACCACTTGTGAGAAAAATCTTCTTTAAATGTCACATTTGCTACTTTTGCAAATCATTTTATTTCTGCGCCCTCTCATTCTCAGTCTTTTTTTTTTAATGAGCAGGAATAGTTTCTTCCTATCTATCTAGATCTTATGATTTTGGAAGTTTCTATGAAATCCTGTTTTAGCCCTCTTCACTCCATTGAGAACAGTTGCAACTTCTCCAGTGTGTCCTCAAAGCTGAATTTTCTTTTTCCTGGAACCAGTTTTGTAAATCTCTGCACTCTCTCCAATCGCTTCCTATAGTGTGGCACGCAGAACTATACACAATACTCCAACTGAAGTCTCAAGGCATTTTAAACCAATGAAGTATTTTTGAAGTGTTGTTACTATTGTTATGTAGGAACTGTGAGTAAACATACACCAAACTCCTACAAACAGCAATGTGATAATCACCAGATTGTTTTTGTGACAGATTGAAGGATAAATACTGATCAGGACACAGGTGATGACTCCCTAACTCTTCTTCAAAATAGTACCGTAGATCTTTGACATCCACCTGAGCAGGAGGAGGTCATAAAAGTAGCACCTTGTGACATGGACGGAGCCATTAGCACTTACAGCTCCTCCATGAGTGTCCTGGGCTTGGGCCAGTACGAACGCATCCAAGGTTTACCTAAGCCTAAGGTTTACCTAATTGATTCAACCAGGCTCTCGGTGGGTGGGCCACATCTCTCTTGCTGTCAATGTGGCATGGCTGGAGGAAGATAAATGGGCATGAAACCAGCAACTTCCTCTGTGCCAATTTGCCAGGCAGCCTTCTAGCCTCTCTCAAAGGAGTGGTAAAATTCAGCTCTGTGATCAATCAAGTCTGGACATGATGGTAAAAATCCAAGATTAAGAAATAAAACCACTTCTATATAAAAAAGTGTTCAGCTGTGTTAAAACACTTCACATTTCCAAAGAGCTAAATAGCATCCAACATGTTTGAAATACCACAAAATAGTCATTTATTTTAAAAAAACATCATTTTGGTAACTGAAGTCTGAGAATTTCTCTACACAACTGGTTAAAACATTTTACTGCCAGTTATCTAGATCACCTGCTACTGCACTAAACTGAAAATGTGCATGGTCACCTTTTGTATCACAGCATGAAATAATGAGACATCACAGCATGTAATAATGTAATAATTTCTGAAACAAAGGTACAACAAAGGTGCAATGAATAGATTGATTATGTATAAAAAGACAGTCAAAAGCTCAGAATTCATTAATTGTCCCAAGCATAAAGCCCCACTCCCCCGAAAACCGCACCCCCCCCAACATTACTCCCCCCGTTCTTCAGAAGGCACCAACTTCCACTGAGCTACAGACTGAAAAGGCAAACCCTTCCAATCATTTGTTCATGTGCCCAATTGTCACACCGGAGACTATACAGAGAGTGTGTCGGTTGTTCATTCTCCACTGAATGCATCATTGTTCACAAATCTTGACTCCACGTGTGCACCCAAATATCTGACACATCAGGGTGTGGACAGAACCGCTTCATATTTTTCTCCGATTATCTCAGGGACACATTATAGTCCATTCTCCTGTCTTAACTGACACTGAATTGACACATAACTGACCTTGTATCCTTCTCGTGGTTCAGATCCAACCATGAAAATAAATCTATCCTCTTAGCCATCAGAAATCCCTACCATCCCTCCCCCAACCCTCCCATCAATTTTCAAACTCCCTCAATCCATATTAAATAAAATGATAAATCAAAGTTCATAACAATACTGCAAAGGTTTAGGCTTGTTACTGAATACTGATAGAGATAAGGGATGGACTCCAGTAATGTCACCAGAACTGCACTTAAAGCATATAGAATTGTGACCCTGCTGCAATTTTATACCAATCCCCACACATCTGGAGTGTCTGTGGAGCCATGCAGCCTTCGTAACAAGCCCAGTTTAACTGTGAAAGGAACACCTAGAAGTCAAGTTTTACACCATGTCATTTCAAATGGTTTCAAAAGGCAAAGGCCTAATTTTAACTTTGGGAGACATTGTAAAACTGGAGACGTGGATTTGTCAGGCAATATATATCCAGCCTGATTTTTCTACCATTTAAAGCCAATGGAAGGGTATGTCAGGTCAGAAGTACAATGAACAGTTATTTCAATATCGCTTATTGTACACTGTTAATATTATCTCAAGTAATAGTGGTTACAACAGTTGGTAGAGTGAGATGGTGAGTTAGGAACATCGCACATAAAAGTTATTTATTGGCTTAAAGTGCGAGTCCATCACTCCCAGACAGAGTCTACATACTGAATAAGTTTAAAGATAGCAGTGATGTTCCCAAAGTTACTGTTCTCCCAGGTTAAACCTGATGCAATGGACAAAAATTAGACACAATGCTACACATTAACTCATATTTCACCTCCCCCAATTTCCACTGCAACCAAAAGTACACTGGAAGAGCATCAGTCAAACTGATAATGATAATAAACCAATCACTAAAAATAAAGTACTAGCAGAGTAAAGCAGGGCTAAAACAAAGAACGACTAATGTTTACAACAGTTGAGTAGTCAGTCTACAAGGCCCATCCACTTATAACAGCAAGAACAACATTGAAACAGCGTGGAAGGCCAAGTGAGGACAGTGGTGGTTGTGCTCGGTTTGTTCCCTTCTGCTCGGGAACATTTTAAATTGTGTGAATCCTTTGATTCCAATGGCAATGAAAGGAATGCAGTGCCAGGTGTTACAATGTCTTCGACTGCATTCTTCCTCTCAGTAGTCACACAGCAGATATACTGACTGCATGCTGGCATTACTGGTGTACTACACACAGCAACACCCTTATTCCAAGTTAATCAAGTTCACTTCGGATTGAACTGTCCCAGTGGTAAGCATGCATCTCCACAGCCAACGTTTCATACATTTGAAATAAATTCTTGACAAACCCATGAGATCAGTGGTCTTAGATGTGAGTATTAGTTGTCATTTTTGTCTTTACTTCTTTTAATTCTTCTTTCTCAAAGATGCTGAGTCCCTTTTCAGTGTGAATCCTTAAGTGCAGGGTGACAATAATATCTCAGACCAATGGCCACTGTTTCGCATATACTCCTAAAAAGTCATAGGAGGACACATTACAGGAGGAGGACATTCAACCTATTGTGTGTGGGCTGAATCTTCGTAAGAGCTATCCAGTTAAATGCACTGTCCCAATCTTTCTTCACAGCTCTGCAAGTAATTTGACCATGAACAGGGCTATCAGAACTAGTCTTGACCTCTTGCCGTATGTGCATATGTCCTCTATAGCCACGAAGTGGTCATGGAATGGTGAACAAGAGCAGAAATGCTGGGTGGCTGTTTATTCTCCTCGCAATACTCAGTGCCCCATTGATTGAGATCAATGAGCTCGCTACAGAACAAGAGTCCATCCCAGAGACCTGAGCACTCAACTAAATTCCATCTTTGACACTCTCTTAAAAAAAACACATATTCACAGGTTTAAACAATGCCAATTCTTTAAACGTTTTGGTTTAAACTAAAACTGGCAACTGGGGTAATCTTCAGAGGGTAAAATGGTCACATAAAAAAGAAAATGCACCTTCTCCAACATACCCAAGGCAGAGGCCCTGTACCAGGCATGTATGATGAAGGTGCTGTGAAAACTGTGATGTTGAGTGGGCATCGCACTCCCAAATTTTTTGCTTTCTTACTTAGAAGAAATACATGTGGACAGAATTAAAAGCAACACATTGTTTTTGTAAAGCAGGTACTTGACTGCTTTTGTGGGCCATATTCTTAAAGGGTGGCAGTTAATCTGTCAGCCAGTAATTAAATTGAAGTTTCATCCTGGCATGATATGATAGAAATGGTGTGGTTTCTCAAAGGGCCCACGTTCACTCCATTCACTTCCTTATCTATATTTACATGGTCCTCGTCTTTTTCACTGGTCCCATTTAGATCTGATTCCCTTTTCTGGCTGATGGTCAAGGGTCGGATTTCATCAGTGGTGTCCAAACTGTGGACCGTAGTTCCTCCTGCTGCATCTGTACAACCCTCCTTATGGCTGCTCCCAGGTGCCTTTTTCTTGCTGCAATACCAACTGACAAACTTGCAAGCAAAGGCACCAATAACAAAGCCAAGGATCAAGAAGAAAAACATCAGCAAATAATTATAAGAATGAGTTTCCTTCCTTGGGTCAATTGAAGATCCAAACTCCAGACTGTAGAAAGCTTTAAGAGCCTGAACTTTGTCCTCAATGCACATGCACCTGTAATTACCTATGCTGCTCAGTGCAGCTTTCACAGCAATTCCCTTGGCTTTATCATTGTTACTCAAATTTCCATTGGGCGTTGTCCAGTGACAAGTTGACCAGGCAGAACTGGGTTCACACTGAAGGAAAATAGTGGTCCCATTCACCATTGGTACCATCGTCATTGGCAGTGAAATGTCTGGAAAACAAGAAAAAAAGCCATAAGTTTGTAGATAGGTCTGTACTTTAAATTCCTAGTTCTTATGTTCTTATAGGAATTAAGGGTTACGGTGAGAACGCGGGTAAGTGGATCTGAGTCCACGAAAGGATCAGCCATGATCTTATTGAATGGCGGAGCAGGCTCGAAGGGCCAGACGGCCTACTCCTGCTCCTAGTTCTTATGTTCTTATGTTCTTAATCTCCACAGGTGAAGTTCCAAAGTGTTCTGCAGCTAATGATGTATATTGTTGAAATGTAGGAAATGCACAATGATATGGCCTCAAACAGTGAAGAAGCCATGAACAGATAATCTGTTACTGTGGTGCTGGTTGAGGGATGGACGTTGTTCAGGAGTACAGGTAGCTCTGCTATAACGTGCATTTCGTTAACGCAAATTGGCTGCAACACAATTGATGAATGGTGGATGCTGTTTGGATAATGTGAACTTTCTGCTGTACAGGTATAGCAATTTCCCTACAGTGCAATTTTGTATAGCGCGAGGTCACAAAAGAACACAACTATTGCGTTACAGGAGAACTACGTGTATATACCTTGTTGCAGGACAAACAAAAATTAATCAGCTAGGATTCCAACACTTTTGTTCAGTTCTCAGTGACTTGTGTAAGGGACCACATATTTTTTCATTTTTTGGGGCTATAACCTGAAACAGAAGCTTGACTGCTATAACTGGAATTCCACGAACATTTTACAACTTGAAAATCAAATGTTGCGTATGGATGGGATGTTGAAATGTTTTTCAGTGTTGAAATTTTTTAAAGCAGTAATAGGAAGAATTTGAGACTGACTAGCACCAAAAATACTTTGAGTTAATGACATTGTAACTGACAACTGCCCTCTGATTAGTTGAACTGCAGAGTGTTAAAAAGCTATGAGTGCCAAGAGCATGAGAGGGAGAAAAAAATAAACAGAGCCTGCTGTCAGAAAGAATCCATCTCTCCCTGCCTCTCTAAGTGAGAAAAAAGGAAAGAAAAACCAAAAAAGCATATAGGAAAGAATTCATATAAAGACCTAACTTTACCTGACCAGCCACTGAAATAAAGAAATCATAGACAACAGCATATTATCATTGCAAAAATCAGAAGGGCTGTGAGAAAAATAAATTTCCACCTTGTGGTCTGGACTTTTGATTTTGGGATTTTGCTTATCCCGACTATATTCCTTTTCCATCAATTGTAGATGCACTGAACCGTTTCCGAGGTCCCAGGTCTCCCAGTGAGTGAGCAGCAGGTCCCAGGCTTGCAGGCCGAGCTGAGGCTCCAGGTCCACAGCTAGGCCCGAGAGCCTGATGGCGGAGGTTGGGGGGCGCGAGTCTAGTTCCAGCGCAAAACCGATGCCAGCTGCATTGGAGAAGTCGGCCCAGCGTGAACACATAGACAAGGTGGCGTTGGTGGAGGTGAGACAGTGCCAGACAGTGGCACCTCTTTGTCGTTGCGGTAGGAGCATGGCAAAGCGCGATTACAGCAGCGTTGGCAGTTTGGACTCAAGGATCGGGGTGAAGGTGCTGAGCTAGAAGCGGAAGCTATTCCAAAGATTACCTAACTTTACTGAGATAAGACTACAAGATGAACTTTATTGTATTATTTTTCTCGCCTTATATTCGGTGTTTTGGTTTATTTTCTGTGTTTTAAGATGGCACCAGAGAGTGGTCACACTAAACAACACTTTTCACTGTATTTGTAATAAATACACATGGCAATAAATAAACAAATCAATTAATGTTTGTCTCTCGTCAGTCCTGAATGTATTGACTGTGTGTGGATTTGGAGGTTTGAAGGGGTACAGTTTAAGTTGCATAAACTAGAAACCCTTTCACTTCACCACACTCATTAAAGTTATGCATGTTTCAAAAAACAGAATTTTGCTTTGCTATTATGGAAGCAGCCCAGTATGAATTGCTTCTGTTCTGAGCAGCAGTCAGTCAAGCAAATTAGACATCTTGGGATTTCATACATTTACACATTGTGAGAGAGCTTGTGGTACAGGGGAGCCAAGACTATTGATGTCACCTTCCTAGTTAAGTTGTGACACTTATGCGTGAGGTGTACATCAGTGTTGTGATCTAAAGCGAGTCGAGAAGCTGAAGCTTTTCATTTAAAAAACATTTGGACGGGTACATGGATAGGAAAGGTTGAGAAGGATATGGGCCAAACGCAGGCAAATGGGATTAGTTTAGTTTAGGAAACCTAGTTGGCAGGTATGAGTTAGGCCGAAGGGTCTGTTTCCGTGCTGTACGACTCCATCTTGCACTCATCAGAATGAGGACACAATGAATAGATTTGAAGAAAGGGACACCATTTTGTTTAAATCTGTTTATTGCGTTGTATTTCCGGTAAGTATCAGACAAAAATGTTCAAGTTCTTATCTCCTTTTAGCAAATTTTAATTTCTGTACAACCAAACAATTATTTAAAAACAGAATGGCAAAATATTTTTTAAACAGTGGTAGATTAAGAAATGTTGATGTATGAAGGGGACCTGGGTGTCCTCATACACCAGTCACTGAAAGCGAGCATGCAGGTGCATCAAAGAAAGAAAGACAGATTTCAAGAGGTGACTAATGTCAATGAATATGGGAAGAGAGCAGGAGTATGGTGTAGTGGTACAGGATCAGCCCTTATCATGTCTGAATGGCACAGTATGCTCAATGGGCTGAATGGCCTACACCCGCTCCTATTTTCTCTCCTTTTATGTGCGACAGTCATGTTAATAGCATCAGGAGAGAGGTGGGTAATGGAGAGATGTTGAACATCAGATAGGCACAGAAGGGTTAAGTGTCTTAACAAACGTACCTTTCTCAGTTTTACATAAGGTGTTGGTCTGTAGATGGTCGTATTCTACATCTTGCAGAAACCTAAATGGAGAAAACAAAATTTTTGGTTTTAGAAAGGTTAAGAAAATCCTTGAAGCAATAATTATCGTCTGTTTTTAAAAATAATTACAATTACTGCCAAGGCGGCAGCATAGTGATAATGTCATTGGACTAGCAATCCAGATCCTCAGGTTAAAGTTCTGGGGACAGGGGTTTGAATCTCATCGTGGCAGATGGTGAAATTTAAATTCAAAAAAAAAATTCTGGGATTAAAAGTTAGTCCAAAATGGCGGCCAATTTCAACTGTGGTTCACTAACGGCCTTTAGGGAATGAAATCTCCCACTCCTCCCCAGTCTGGCCTACATGTCATTGACCCTTAACTGCCCATTGGATAATTAGAGATGGGTAACAAATGCTGGTCCGTCCAGGAACACCCACACCTTATAAAATGTTTGTTTTAAAATATAATCTTGGTAAAGTATTCCAGTTTTTTTTTTGTTTTGCTTTAAAGGAGATGCAGAAGAAGCTATGAATACAGTTTAACAAGGTTCAATTATACATGCGGACAAAGGCATTTATGACCAAAAGTAGACATGTACTGTGTAATGTGTAATACATTTTTGATAGATAATTTAATTAAAGAGCAGTAACTCTGATACAACATCTGAACCCAGCAGGAGCTCAGTTACTGTTGCACAAGCATTCCACATTGAAATGGAAGTAGACCATTCAGCATCTATAGAAACTCTGAAAAGTTACAGAACAGAAAAAGGCCATTCAGCCCATCATATTTACACCAGCTTAATAAATTAATACAGTTTCTGTAGTAACTAAAAAGACCCAGAACATCGCCAGAATAAGAATGCTTGCCTCTGTTCCAGTGGGAAAACCTTCTCACCCCTAAATATAGTGTACCCTAGATACATAACCTTCTCTTGCCCTACTTTACCTGAAGTTGGGTTAACCTTAACAGCTACCCTTATGGTTCCTAGCAATTGTATCATCTCTAGTGTGTAATGGCATATACTAACAGATACAAAGAGGAGGTCATCCATGTACAATAACACTCCAAGTTATTACACACCCTCTCCTGCTTGAGCCATATACCGATGAAAGATATGGGGCTATTGTAGACCCCTTGGGGGACCCTCATCCGCCATGTATACTAATTCTCCCATACTGTAAAAGCAAATTTAGATTGGGATGCCCCATCTGAGAACACAGGAACAGGAGTTGGGCATTCAGCCATTTCAGCCTGTTCTGCCTATCAATGATATCATGGCTGATCTATGGCCTAACTCTAAATATTTGCTACCTTTGGCTCATATCCTTTAATACCTCTGCTTAACAAATATTTTTCTATCTCAGATTTAAAATTAACAACTGATCCAGCATCCACTGCTATTTGTCATAGAGAGTTCCAAACGTTTTGTCACCTGTGTGTAGATGTGCTTCCTAACATTTCTCTTGAACAGCGCGGAACATATAGAAAATTGTGTGTGAAGCTTCAGTTATAACAAGGGTTAAATTTATAAATGCTATTGCAAAAAGCTGACTTGCAGGTACGGTTGAAACTAAGGAATCATTCTGAAGCAGATATGGGAATACGTGACAAAACAGACTGTCTCCTAGATCTTGTGGTTAGGGTATGGGAAACAGCTGGCGAGTATGGCATGGCGAGGATCAAGTAGAAATGTATAAAAAGCACGATTAAAGCTGTTGCTGCAGAAGTCTCAACTTGCAACCAAGTAGTCAACATGTAAGAAGAAATAAAGCCAGATATTTGAAAAGATTGCCGATTTGCTCCTTATTTCTTAGGAACCTAACAAACAGTCTGGCCCTAATTCTCTAAACCCCTAATTTTAGAATCCCCAACCAGTGGAAATACTTTAATCGACCCTGTCTTCCCCTGTGAATATCTTGAAGATTTTGATCAGATCGCCCCTTAACCTTCTAAATTCTCGAAAAGAATGCCTGATTTGTATAATCTCTTCTCAAAACTTAATCCCGGAAATCCAGGTAGGATTCTCGTAAACTTATGTTGTACTCCCTCCCAGGCCAATATATCCTTCTAACGGTGTGGTGGCCAGCTCCGCTCATAGTATTCCAAGTGGGCTGTATAACTGCAACAAATTTTGCGTCCCTATACTCCAGTCCTCGAGATATAGAAGCTAACATTTCAACAGCTTTCTTGATTACTTTCTGCACCTGTTCATGATATTTTAAAGATCTACGTACATGAGTCACCAAGTCTCTTTGGGCATTCACAATATTCATAGCATCTGGAAAGTATCCTGATCTTCCCATTTTTGGTTCAAAACGTATAACCTCACATTTGATTACATCCACTCTATCCAGGCCTCTCAGAATTCTGTAAGTTTCAATGAGATTCCCCATCTTCCTTCTAAACTCCATCGAGTACAGACCCAGAATCCTCAACTGCTCCTCTAATGACAAGCCTTTCATCCCCGGGATCATTCTTGTAAACCTCCTCTGGACCACCTCAAAAGCCAGCACATCCTTCCTTCGACACCAAGCCCAAAAAACTACTCACAATAATCCAAAAGCAGTCTGACCACAGCCTTATACATCCTCTGCAGCACACCTCTGTTCTAGTATTCCAGCCCTTTTGAAATGAATGCTAACATTGCATGTGCCTTCCTAACTCCACCCGAAAATGCATGTTAACCTTAACAGAATACTGAACTAGCACTCCCAAGTCCCTTCGTGCTTCAGATTTCCAAAGCCTTTGTCCATTTAGAAAATAGTCTATGCCTCTACTCTTCCTACCAAAGTGCATAACCTTGCACTTTACCACACTGTATTCCATCTGCCACTTCTTTTCCCGCTCTCCCAGCCTGTCCAAAGCCATCTGCAGCCTCTCTGCTTCCTCAACACTACCTGCCCCTCCACCTACCTTTGGGTCATGTGCAAACCTAGCAACAATGCCCTAAGTTCCTTCATCCCAATAATTAATGTATAATATCAATAGTTGTTGTCCCAACATTGACCCCTGAGGGGCTCCACAAGTCACCGGCTGCCATCTTGGAAAAGACTCCCTTATCTCTACCCTCTGCCAGTCAGCCAATCTCTACACATGCCAGAACCTTGCCCCTAACACCATGGGCTCTTCCTTTATTCATTCACGAGGTAAGCGTGTCGCTGGCCAGGCAGCATTTATTGCTCATTCCTAATTGCCCAGAGGGCAGTTAAGATTCAACCACATTGCTGTGAGTCTGGAGTCACGTGTAGGCCAAACCAGGTAAGGATGGCAGTTTCCTTCTCTAAAGGACATTAATGAACCAGATGGGTTTTTCCAACAATCGACAATAGATTCATGGTCATCATTAGATTCTTAATTCCAGATATTTTATTGAATTCAAATTCCACCATCTGCCATAGCGGGATTCAAACCAGGATACCAGGATGTTATCTGGATTAACAGTCCAGTGATAATACCACTAGGCCATCGCCTCCTCTTATCTTCTTTAGCAGCCTCCTGTAATGCACTTTGTCAAAGGCCTTCTGGAAATCGAAATAGATCACGTTCACTTTGTCTAACTTGCTTGTTACCTCCTCAAAGAATTACACAGATTTGTCAGGCATGATCTCCCCTTGATAAAGCCAAGCTGACTCAGTCCTATTTTACCATACACTTCCAAGTACTTCATAATCTCATCCTTCATAATGAAATTTATAATCTCACCAATGACTAAGGTCAGGCTGACCAGCCTATAGTTTCCTGTCTTCTGCCATCCTCCCTTCTTAAACAGGGGTGTTACATTAGCCATTTTCCAGTCCTCTGAGACCCTCTCTGACTCCAGTGATTCCTAACAGATCCCCAATAACGCCTGTACAATCGCCTCAGCTTTCTCCTACATAAATCTGGGGTGTGCTCCAAAGGATCTCCATGTTGGAGACTACACTCCAACATTTCAGACACACGTCGCATGCACCCCCACCCCAATGCCATGGACACTGGCATCTGACACGTGCCAGTCTCTCATAACCCTTAAAGCACATTTCCAATCCGCTTACAGGGTACTTCAGTATTTCAGTGCTGTGCGTCAGGCTGCAACTCTCATGGTAATGCTGCAGCAAGCAAACTGTGTGCTCAGGGACCGACACCCAGCTCAAGGATTGGACTAGTCTACACCTCCAGACCACGTGCTGATCGTGTTTGCTCAATCAGCCTACCTGGATGTTCAACATTTCTGCCATGCACTGCCCTTTCATACATTGCCCCTCAGCAAAACATACCAGGCTCAATGTACTGCTGTGTTATGATGCCATTTAGCACAGCCACAAAGCCAGGAAGCTTGACATGGCTGTCAGCAGTCCTCAGGTCAAGCCATGAGAGAAATCTTTCAGTCGGGATGTCCAAGCACAGTAAGTCAATGGCAGCCTCCAATACCAGTCCAGGAGCTTGGTCACAAGTCAGTAGGCCACTCAGGACGGCCATAGCCTAGATGCTCTCCACATAAGAAGTGAGGAACCAAAAGGTCAGGGAGCTCCCCATCCATCATGACTCCTTCTGTCATAATGGGTACTGTTTACCTTCCGGAGAGAAGTAGTTATTAAGGGAGATGAAGTGGGTAGAACAGTTGTATTTTATGGCTCAGATTGGGGACAATAGTAAGAGTGGTTAGTGGGAAGTTAGTATACTAGCAGAGATAGAGTGAGTGTGAAGTATTGGAGACAGGATGGTGGCATTGCAGGTGGCATGGCAGGTGTGGGAATTTAAATTCAATAAATATCTGGAATTAAGACCCTAACAATGACCATAAACCCATTGTCGATTTTTGGAAAAACCCATCTGGTTCACTAATGTCCTTTAGGGAAGAAACTGCCATCCTTACCTGATCTGGCCTACATGTGACTCCAGACCCACAGTGATGTGGTTGACTCTGAACTGCCCTCTGGGCAATTAGGGATGGGCAATAAATGCTGCCTGACCAGCGACGCCCTCATTCCGTGAACGGATAAAGAAAAAAAAATTCTACTGGCGAAGTGGAGACGATCATTAACCTTCTTCCTACATTACTGTGCATTCCTCCAGATGGCTGAGACTGCGCTGACCCAGGTGTTAACCTCCGACCAGACTGGTTTCAGCAGTCCCACCTACTCACTATTTCCCTTAGCTGCTCTCTCTTTACAACAGCATTGACATTTCCGTAGCTCTCCCTGCCCTGGGATAACTCAATCATGCTTTGAGGGACGATCCAACTTCTCCATTAATAACTCACCACTGAGCCGTTTTGTTCCCGAATGGAACACATTCCAATTTCTGCGCATCCCAGCTACAAGATGGATCCCTGGCCAGAAGGCAGCCCTCACAGTGGGAATACCTGCTGCAGTTTACAGCTGGAAGCTGAACCACCAAGTTATTTGATCCAACGTAGACAAATTCCTGAAAGAAATTATGTCCATTAGCAACAAATTCATTCACAGATCCTTTTTCAATAACCTATTTCCTCATGAAGCTCTTCTACCAAGCTGTAAGAAATTTCAGAAGGGGAGTGAAAAAGAAAAAAAAATGGCAAGAAGACAGTTATTTTGTCATTCGCTCATGGGATGTGGGTGTCAGTGGCTGGGTCAGCATTTCTTGCCCATCCCTAGTTGCCCCTTGAGAAGGTGGTGCTGAGCTGCCTTCTTGAACCGCTGCAGTCCTCCTGCTGTGGGCTGACCCACAATGCTGTTCAGGAGGAACTTATGAGCAGGGAAAATCAGAAGGAACTAGAATTAACATAAAGAGAATTCAAGAACTGTCAGTTTTTAAAAAAATAATCATAGAATCCCTACAGTGTGGAAACAGGCCATTCGGCCCAACAAGTCCACACCGCCCCTCCTAAGAGCATCTCACCCAGAACCATTCCCGCTCTGATTTCCCCATGTCTACCCCACCTAACCTAAACATCCCTGGGCACTATAGCATGGCCAATCCACCTAATCTGCACACCTTTGATCTGTGGGAGGAAACTGGAGTACCCAGAGGAAACCCACGCAGACACGGGGAGAATGTGCAAACTCCACACAGACAGTCATCCGAGGGTGGAATCGAACCCGGGTCCCTGGCACTGTGAGGCAGCAGTGCTAACCACTGAGCCACTGTGCCGCACGTGAGATGTGAATGTTACTATCAAAACCAGCATTTACTGTTTATCACTAAGTACTCTCGAGATAGTGGTATTGAGCTGCCTTCTTGAAATGCTTTGGAACATGTGATGTGGCTACATCCACAGTATAATTAGGAAGGGAGTTACAAGATTTGACCCAGCAACAGGGCACTCCAGCAAACCGAGGTATATAAATAACAAGCAGGACAGAACAGTGACATTTCACCAGTGGTGTACTGACAATGTTTTTTTAAATTCATTAATGGGATGAGGGCATCACTGGCCAGGCAGCATTTACTGCCCATTCCTAGTTGCCCAGTGGGCAGTTAAGAGTCAACCACATTGCTGTAGGACTGGAGTCACATGTAGGCCAGACCAGGTAAGGAAGGCAGTTTCCTTCCCCAAAGGACATCAGTGAACCAGATGGGTTTTTCCTGACAATTGACAATGGTCAAGATTAGACTCTTAATTCCAGACACTTTATTGAATTCAAATTCCAGAATCAGCTGTGGCAGGATTTGAACCCAGATCCCTGGGATGTTATCTGGGTTAACAGTCTAGTGATAATACCACTAGACCATCACCTCTCCATGCCCCAGCAGGGTAACCAAACACATCAGCTCGGCAAGCAACTCAAAACTTCACCCACAACCCAAGCTATAAATCTTCTCAAAAACTTTAAAGAGCTACCCCTGTCCTTCCAGGAGGTAGAGGTCGTGGGTTTGCTAAGTGCTATTTAAGGAGCCTTGGTGAGCCGTCGCAGTACATTCTGTAGATGGTGCATACTGCTGCCGCTGTGCATTGGTGATGGAGGGAGCACATAACTAGGGAAATAGAGAGGAGTTTAAGCTAATAGTGGGGGTAAGGGATTAAATTTGACAAGACACATTAATACAGTCAAAACAGAAGAGAGGGGTATCAATATGGGAAATGATAAAAAGACTGTGATTTGATTTTGGTTTGATTTATTGTCAGATGTACCTAGGTACAGTGAAAAGCTTTGTTTACAGACAGACCAGTAAGCAAGGGCATACCAACTCATGGGGTGGAAAAAAAACTTGGACAGAGGCATATAGTTACATTACTTAGGGTGTCTGTTAGGCATGATCAACATTAGAACTTTAGTTTAAAGTGTAGAACGGCTATAGGAAATGTTAGAGTTAGATCCGCTGTAGGGAACTCACAAGGAGTTGTACAGTGTCGGCGCCATCTTGGTACCAATTTTTGAAAGGACAGAATGAAGAGTATGAATTTTAGAGTCAACAAACTGACAGGATTAGAATTTAAAAGGACTGTAAAAGAATAAAACTAAAGGCTCTGGACCTGAATGCATGTGTTTTGCTTTCATCTACCAGACTGATCCTTGGAACGATCTGCTTGTTATATGAGGGTAGGTCGAACAGACTTGGCCTGTTTCCACTGGAGTTTAGAAGAATGACAGATAATCTGATGGAAGCACAGAAGAACCTGAATGGCCAGAGATTTAGGGGGAGGCAACAGCCTAGTAGTATTACCGCAGGACTGTTAATTCAGGGACAAAGCCAACATTCTGGGTTCAAATCCCTCCACTGCAGATGGTGAAATTTGAATTCAATAAAAAAAAATCTGGAATTAGGGATCTAGTGATGACCATGAATCTGTTGCCAATTGTCAGACGAATCCATCTGGTTCACTAATGTCCTTTAGGGAAGGAAACTGCCATCCTTACTTGGTTGGGCCCACATGTGACTCCAGACCCCCAGCAATGTGGTTGACTCTTAACTGCCCTCTGGGCAATTAGGGATGGGCAATAAATGCTGCCTGAAAGCAATGCCCTCATCCCATAAAAGAATAAAGGAGACTCCATAAACCAAAACGAAGACGCTGGGATTACTCTCCTTTGAAAGATGAGATTTATTGGAAGAGTTCAAATTTTGAGGTATCTACCCAAAACAGATACAGAGAAAAGTATTGCCATTGATGGAAGGATCGAGAGCCACAGAAAAGGTTCTTTCAAAGGAAATTGAAAAATAATCTGATGAGAGAGAAATTGAAGGGCTATGGGGAAAAGTCAGTGGGGTGAGCTAAATTGTTCCAGAAGCACAGACTGAACAGACTAAATGGTCTACCTAAAGGGAGGCTTTTTCTTGAGGGCGTCACTGGCTAGACCAGCATTTATTGCTCACCCCAAAGGGCAGTTAAGTCACCATATTGCTGTAGGTCAGGAGTCACATGCAGTTTCCTTCCCTAAAGGACATTAGTGAAACAGATGGGATTTTCTGACAATCAACAATGGATTCATGTGCATCATTAGATTTTTTTGAAATCAAATTCCACCATCTTCCTCCAAGCTCAGACGTATGGACACTACCACTATGCAACTTACCATTCTATTTCTTTGAATACTCACACGGTTATATTTTTAAAACCTGTTTGGACACGCTTTAACACACCTGTACGGCAGGTGGCATTTGAAATTGACCTCATAGCTCGGACATATGGACACAACCACCGTGCCACAAAAAGCCCGAGCTGTAACCACTCTATGACTACAACTGTATTACCAGTTAAACGATGGAAGACGCTGAAGTGCAGGAGATGTCATGACTCTTCATTAAAGTCTCTAAATTCAAGGTTCAAAACAAAATTAATTAATATGACGTCGTCAAATGGATTGCAGCGTTTCAAAAAGTCAGCACACAAACAGCTCACCATGGGTAGTTAGAGTTGGGGAAATAATACTGGCCTAGACAGCCACTCCCAATCTCATGTACAAATGAATTATAAAAAAAAACTTGATCCAGAAGTTAATAAATGCAAGCTTTATGTGAAGCTATGCCTCAAGAACAATGGCTTTGTGATTTACGGTGTTCCTTACCTGATTTAGGGCAATGTTCAGAACTTTCTCAGCAGACTTGAACACTGCATAGTCCTCCACCACATGGGTTTTAGAGCCACGTCTGACTGCTTTGTGCAAATGTCCAGATTCTACAGCAAAACAACAAACGAGGATATGTCATTCTCAAGCAAATCACAATTTCAGATACAGCATATGAACAATTTAATAAATGACATATGGTGAGCATGATATTCTTGCAAGGACCAAGTGACTATGCATCTCAAAGCATTAAGGTCTTTTCCCTCTTTTAAGAGACACTGGTACGACATCAACTAACATACTGCGTCCAATTTTGGGCACTTTAGGAATAACATGAAGGCAGAAAGAGTTTATAAGAATGATGCCAGGGATGAGGGATATCAGTTACTTGTTTTATTTATTCATGGAATGTGGGCGTTACTGACTAGGCCAGCAATTATTGCTCATCCTTTATTGCCCCTTGCTAGGGGCAGTTCAGAGACAATCACATTGCTGTCAGTCTGGAGTCACATATAGGCCAAACAAGATAAGGGCAGCAGCTTTTCTTCCTAAAGGACATTTATAAACCAGATGGGTGTTTTCAAAGACAATGGTCACCATTTGGCGAGCATTTTTAATACCAGATTTGCATAGATTCAGATTTCACTATCAGCCGTTGCTGGATTCACACACATGTCGCCAAAGCATTAGCGTGACTCTCTGGATTACTAGTCCAGTGACAATATGACCACATCAATGCATGCCCTGTATGAAACAAGTCGAGCAGTTAGGATTGTTCTAGTCAGAAAAGAGAGGAGATTTGATAGAAGTGTTTAAAATGATAAGAGGTCTAAACAGAGTATATGAGAGAGAAAATGTCCTTTTGGGGAGAAGAAAGGTCAAGAACCAGAGGGCACCTTGAAAGATTAACTCTCTTTTCTCTCCACTCTACTGTTAGACCTGCTGTGTACTTCTAGCCCTTCCTGTTTTTATACACAGCATAGATTTAAACCTTTCACAGAATCCCTACAGTGTGGAAACAGGCCATTCAACCCAACAAGTCCACACTGACTCACTGAAGAGCATCCCACCCAGACTCAACCCCCTACCCTATCCCTGCACACTAGGGGCAATTTAGCATGGCCAACCCACCTAACCTGCACATCTTTGGACTGTGGGAGGAAACTGGAGCACCTGGAGGAAACCCATGCAGACATGGGGAGAATGTGCAAGCTCCACACAGACAGCGACCTGAGACTGGAGTTGAACCCAGGTCCCTGCTGCTGTGAGGCAGCAGTGCTAACCACTGAGCCATTGGGCCATGCTATTTATTGGGCTCTTCCTGTTTCATGCATAGCGGAGTTCAATTAGGAGATGGTTATCTGTAAAGTACTCCTCGCATCATTTGTCTTTGTAACATTTGAGTGCATTGAAAATATGTTTCTAGATTCTGTTTATTGATAAGCCCTTTTTCATTAAGTACAATTTTTTGAGATATAACCAATAAGTTGGATAATGACTAACCAGCGGGTATAGTACATTTTGACGTTTGAAGCATTTGATAAGGTGTCATACAGCAGGCTACTATAGAAATAAGGGCTCATGGGGTAATTTATTAGCACAGGTTCAGGATTGGTCAACAGACAAAAAACAGAATAGGTATAAAGACGAATCAGAGATAGTAGGAACTGCAGATGCTGGAGAATCCGAGACAACAAGGTGCAAGGCTGGATGAACACAGCAGGCCAAGCAGCATCATAGGAGCAGAGAGGCTGACGTTTCGGGCAGAGAGGCTGACGTTTCGGGCCTAGACCCTTAGTTTCCAGATTTCTTCAGAGGAGCAGGAAAGTTGACGTTTCGGGTCGGGACCCTTCTTTAGATTTCTGAAGAAGGGTCCCGACCTGAAAACATCAACTTTCCTGCTCCCCTGATGCTGCCTGGCCTGCCGTGTTCCTCCAGCCCCACACTGTGTTATCTGTGACTCCAGCATCTGCAGTTCTTGCTATCTCTAATTTCCGGATTTGCAGTTTTAATCAACAGTGTACTGCAAGGTGCTTGGGCATCAACTGTTCCAATCTATGTTGAACGATTTAGATGAAGGAAGTGGATGTGATGATTTAAAGCAAATGACAAAGAACCAGAAGTGATTGGTGTTATGTATGCAGTTGGATGCATGTTGCCCCTTTAAGAGAGTGGGTCAGGTGACCCAGAGGCAGGGGTACAAGAAAGTCTAAGATTGAATGTGGAGCTGAGAAGACACACATTAAAGTATTCCCTGTTCAGGTTTACCTTGCGTTCTGTTTATTGATTGTTTCAAGTGAACCACAAACTAGCAAGTGGAGACGAGGACGTGACCTGGACCACAAACTATGTGCGAACACAATACTTTTTTTGGTCAGGACGAGAAACATCATCCAGACTTTGAGAACAGTGCAGGATTGTGGAGGGAAACGCTCGCAAGGGGACTTGGGCTGCGGTTAGTCAGCGCCAGGGAGGAAGAGTGTGCACCGAGGAGTGGGCTGAAAGCAGCAGTCAGAAGGAGACTCGGACCGATGGCTGAAGAGGAGCATATTGAACCGGGAGCTTATCAAAGTCATCTCAGGGAGTTGTCGCTAGAGAAACTGGGTTGTGGGTGATGCCAGGGAAGAATGGTATCTTAATGCAGTTGGTGACGGAGTGGCCGACATGGAGATCATTCACCGAGGGGCTGTGAATGGCTATTGGATTCAAGTCGTGGAAAAAATACTTGCCAGCGAGAAAGATCAAATTGGCCGGCCCATTTGGAGCGATGAGAACATTTAACGAAGAGGCTGAAAGTTGGACACTGTACACCGAATGTTCTGTTGAGTATTTAAAGGCAAGCAAAGTGGCTGAAGACCTAATGGAAGCAGTTTCTTGAGTACTGTTGGCAGAGAACACATACCAAGAACCATGTGAAGTGTTGGGGAATTATGCTGCACCAAAGACACTGATGATCATGGAATGTTTCCGTTTTTATACAACTGTAGAGCACAAAGGAGAGTCGATCGCCCAATTTGTGGCTGTCCTACAGGTTATTGGATCATTGCGAATTCAGAGGGTTCCTCCAAGATGGGTCAGGTTGGTTCATGACCGCTAACACGAAGCCATCTAACAGAAGCTACTAACAAGGAGAGACCTCGATTTCAAGACAGCTTTCGAAGCTGCTTTGTCAATGGAGCTGGCCGACAGCAAAGCAACACAGTCGAGCGACGACACCCCGGTGCATAAAACAGCAGGAACTTGGTGCAGTGCAGTACCAACTGCAGAATGTGAGGTGGCAAGACTGGTCACAAGGAGTCAACGCATTGGATTTGAGATGTCCAGTGCCGCAGGTGTAAGCGATTGGCTACGCTGCCAAAATTGCCAAACACAACACAAGCAAGAGAATGGGTGTTTAAAGGATAGAACTCGGAGGTACATGCTGCCAACAGGGGAGCAGGCCAGGAGTTAGCTGGGTCTGCAGGAGAAGCAGAAAGCCCAGGGTCAGCAGGATTCCAGTTAAACAACCTGTAGGTACGGGGTAAGGCTGATCCTTTCTGGGTCCTTCCCAAATTAGAGGGGAATATTGTGAAGATGGAAGTGGATGTGGGCCCAGTTGTGTCTCTGATTCCCGAATCAATAAATAGGGCAAAGTTCGCGGCACTGCCATTGAAGCCTGCCAAGATTATACCGTGGGCATATATCGGAACAAGTGGTGCCACTGAAGGGCTGTGTACCAATAGAATTACAGCCAAGGGACCAGTGTGCAGAACTGTCTCTGAAGGTAGTGAAAGGAGACTCCCCTGCATTATTCAGATGCTCCCAGTTACAAAAATTAAAGTTAAACTGAGGCATGGTTAACAGGCTGGTGGATTGAAAAACAAGTATGAAGAGATTTTGGACAGGGATAAGGGTGCCTTCAAGGGAACCCTGGGGAAATGAAGGGGAGTAGAAATTAAGCTTCGATTGAAGCGGGAGACTCGACCAATGAGTCTGAAGGCACAGCTATACCATGTGCCATCTGGCCCAAAGTGGAGGTGGAACTGGAACAGGCTGGTAAACCTGGGAGCATTGGAACTATCAGGAACCACCAGTGAATGGGCCACTCCAACTGTCCTGGTCTTAAAAACACACATCACAGTGAGAATTTGTGGTGACTTTTAAGGTCACAGTCAACCCCCAGGCCTTTGTGTGGATCAATATCCACTTCCATTGGGGATCTGTTCAGTGGACTGGCTGGGAAAAAGAAATTCTCCAAGATGGATCTGGTCCAGGCCTACTTACAGAGGGTAGTTATGAAGGAGTCCCAGCCAGCAATGACAGTAGTAATGCAAACGGGACTATTCCGCTATAAGTGGCTACCTTTTGGCAGCACGTCAACACCGGCTCCATTCCAGACAGCCATGGACCAAATTTTGAGTAGATTGCCAGGTGCCCAGTGTTACCTGGATGATGTTTTAGTTACTGGATGCTCCAAAAAGGAGCATTTGAAAAACCTAGAAGAATCCCAAAAAAGGCTGCAGAAATAGTTGGCCTGCGGGCTCAGTGGTTAGCACTGCTACCTCACAGCGCCAGGGATCCAGGTTCAATTCCAGCCTCGGGCGACTGTCTGTGTGGAGTTTGCACGTTCTCCCAGTGTCTGCGTGGGTTTCCTCCGGGTGCTCCAGTTTCCTCCCACAGTCCAAAGATGTGCAGGCTAGGTGGATTGGCCATGCTAAATTGCCCATAGTGTTCAGGGGCGTAGGTTAGGTGCATTAGCCATGGAAAATGTGGAGTTACAGGGAAAGGGTAGGGGTTGGGGATGGATCTGGGTGGGATGCTCTTCAGAGGGTCAGTGTGGACTTGTTGGGCTGAGTGGCCTGTTTCGACGCTGTAGGGATTCTATGAACACAGCCTGCAAGTTAAAAGGGAGGAAATATGAGTTCTTTAAAAACTCCATAGAGTACCTGGGCCATCACTGGTGAGGAACTATGCAAGGTGCCAAGAAGTTGGAGGCTCCAGATAATTTGTCTCAACCGAGATCATTCTTGGGACTTGGCAAGTTTGTGCCTGGCAACTGTGCTAAAACCCCTGCATTGAAATAGATCCAGGAATGTGAGGGGCCTTACCAGGAGATGAAGCAAGCCTTAAACAGGTCAGAATTGTTGGCTCATTTCGACCACAAGTTGGGGTTGGTGCTGGCCAAAAGAGCAATAAGGCCCATTGCGTTCACATGGAGGTTATTAACAAAGATAGAGAAGGATACCCAAGTGGAAAAGGAAGGATTGGGCATTGTGTTTAGTGTTAAGAAGTTCATCCACTTCCTTTACAGCATGCACTTTGTGTTACTAACAGACCACTAACCTTTATTTTTGGCTCGTATCATCAATGGCAGCATTACAGAGATGGGCATTGGCTCTGTCAGCCTACTCATATGAAATTAGATGCTGACAGTCAGAGAAGCATGGCTATGCAGATGATTTGTCAAGGTTACCACTACTGGGAAATAATGATGTTCCTGACTGGAACCTGAAAATTATGCACTTTTCCCAGGAAGATAAGGTATCAATGTCGGTGAATCAGGTGTGAACACTACCTGGAATGACCCAGCCTTAAGCCTAGTGGTGGACTTAGTCCTGAGAGGAGGGACTTGACATTGAAATCATCCAGAATTATGCCCTTACATGTCCAGGAGGTGGGAGTCGTCTGTGACAGATGGGTGTTTAATGTGGGGAATGTAAATTCTTATTCACTCTCCCGACCCCGTTCAGAGGAAAGGTGCTGTAACAAGGACACCCCAGCACGGTGCAAATGAAAGGGATAGCCAGGAGCTACTTCTGGTGGCTGAATATGGATTCCCACTCTCCCTGTTGTAATCATATCTTTCCTAAAACATGACACCTAGAATTGTACACATTCCTCCAGCTGTGATCCCTACATGTCAAAGTACCTACCACCTTGAGTGATTTATGCATTTTTACATGCAATCTCACTGCTTATGTATGTCCTTAAGATAGCACCCTTTATTTTATATGGTACTTCCATCTTTTGCTGTCAAAATGTATCATTCCTCACTTCTCTGCATTGAACTTCATCTGCCATCTATCAGCCCACTATGCCAACTTGTCAATGTTTGTTTGTAGCTCTACAGTTTTGTCCTCACAGTTTACAATGTTTCCAAATTTTCTATCATCTGTAAACTTAGAAATTGTTTCCTGCATGTCAAGATCTAGATCCGGAAAAGCAAAAGTCTAAACACCAACTCCTCAGGAACTCCGCTACGAACCTTCCTCCAACCCAAAAAATATCCATTGTCCATTACTCTTTGTTTCTTATCCATGTTGCCTGTGTCCATGAACAATAGCTATTCTCATAAGTCTGCAGTATGGCAGTGTATCAGATGCCATTTGGAACTGCATATAGACCACATCAACAGTTACTCTTATCAGCTGTCTCTGCTACTTCTTCAAAAAAACTCAAGCAATTTAGTTACATAGAAACACGGAAGATAAGAGCAGGATGAGGCCATTCGGCCCTTTGAGCCTGCTGTGCCATTCTTCACGATCACGGCTGATCATCCAACTCAACTGACCCTAATCCTGCTTTCTCCCCATAACCTTTGATCCCATTCACCCCAAGTGCTATATCTAGCCGCTTCTCGAATACATTCAATGTTTTGGCATCAGCTACTTCCTGTGGTAATGAGTTCCACAGGCTCACCACTCTTTGGGTGAAGAAATGTCTCCTCATCTCTGTCCTAAATGGTCTACCCCGAATCCTCAGACTGTGACTCCTGGCTCTGGACACACCCACCATCGGGAACATCCTCCCTGCATCTACCCTGTCCAGTCCTGTTAGAATTTTATAAGTCTCTATGAGATCCCCCTCCCCTCATTCATCTGAACTCTAGCGAAACCAAGCCCAACCTAGTCAGTCAATCTCTCCTCATACATCAGACCTGCCATCCCCGGAATCAGCCTGGTAAACCTTCGCTGCACTCCCTCGAGAGCAAGATCATCCTTCCTCAGAAAAAGGAGACCAAAACTGCACACAATATTCCAGGTGTTCTGTGTTTCTGTGTATCCCATATGCCTTCCTATCGATCTTATCTACCTGTCCTGTTGCCGTCAAGGATTTAAGGCGCCTCTGATCCTAGGGTCCTACTGCTCAATATGTACTACCTTCCCTTGTTAGTTGTCCCAAAATGCATCACCTCACACTTTTCATCAGCCCTCTGACCAGCCCACCTCCTTTGTCCTGTTGTCTAAGGCTTTCTTCATTGCTATTTATCACCCCACCAATTTTCATGTCATCTGTGAACTTACTGATCACACCTCTAACATTCATGTCTAGATCATTAATGTACACAATAAACAGTATAGGACCCAGCATTGAACCCTGCGGTACACCACCTGGATATGAGCTTCCAGTCACAAAAAACACCTTTCAACCATCACATTTTACTTCCGGCCACTAAGCCAACTTTGAATCCAATTGGCCGATCATTCCTAGACCCCATGGGCTCCCAGCTTCTTAACCAGTCTCTTGTGACATCTTGTCAGAAGTGTTACTGAAGCCAATTCTCCACACTTCTGGCACCACATCTGAAGATTAAAAGATTATTGCTGGTGTCTCTGCAATTTACATTCTCACTTCTTTCAGTATCCTTGGGATGTATTTCATTATCATGATAGAACATAGAACATAGAACATTACAGCGCAGTACAGGCCCTTCGG